GAGAGTTCGCATATGTACGCAGCCGAGTAGCGAGCAACTAAGTCGCACACCGTTCCTACACTCTTTCCCACACGCGCTCTTCCGATCTCTCTCTCTCTCTCTCTCTCTCTCTCTCTCTCTCTCTCTCTCTCTCTCTCTCTCTACCTACTGTATACGCAAGAAACCCAATAGGTAGAGCTTACTTCGATCGCTTGAGAACATCTCGAAGAGTTTCTAGGGTTAGTCGGCCTTCTCCCTTTGAGTCAAATTTATCAAATATTTCTCGCAGCTGTTCCTCTCGCACCACTATACGTCTTGCAAGGAGAGTCGATATGAATTCATTGTAGCCTACGACGGGACATTCAGAAGGAAGACATCCAGTGTGCGGTGCGTGTATGAAGCATGCGCAACAGAAAAATGTAATTTTGGAGCAGGCGGAAGCACGCTTCTCTGCTTGGCGGCTGTTAGGAAGCCGAGGAGGCCCAGCGACTTAAGCTGCGTTGATGGACACATACCGATGTGGCCCTGCTGATTTGCATCGATGGAATTGAAGATTTGTTCTAACTCGCTTTCAACAACTGTATATCCTGCTTCGCGCATACCTAAGGTCCAAATAAGCACACATGGAGCACTCTGAAAAACATGAGCACCTGCGATGCAGATTTACTGTAGCAGGAAGTTGCATTTTACAGAGATTTCACATGCCCGGGAGTGGTGTTGCCAAAAACACAAGCTTTGACCCACTCTGTTTCAATTCATCTACAGTAATCGTCCCTTTGCCCGTTCTATCCAATGCCTCGAACTTCTTCCGGAGTTGAATTATGTCGGTCTCGTTCAACTCCTTTGCGAGTAGCTGGAGCACGGCTTGCTTTAGCCTGTTCTGTCGTTGCCAAGAACGCAGGCCCTCAAATACAGACGGCGTTAGCTGAGAGGCGCAAGTGGAACGTGTTGCAAGCAGCCTGCAAGTATGGACACACGGGGAAACCGCATTTAGTGGAAGACTGCACTGCGATGAAAGCAATCACAGCGTTTCTTTCAAGTGCAGCATGCGCTCAAAATCAGGGCGACAAGAGGTTTCTAATTTTGTAAAGTAAGTACGATGGCCATGCACATGAAGGTACTGCACTTCCTCGCACAAATGGAGCACGTGCTGTAAAAACCGTGCTGAGTTGCAATGTCGCTGCAAGTGATAATATGGGTGGTAACGCATATGCTTGCCAAGAATAGAAACCAGGAAGCCACTCAATAAAACGGAATTCAAGCCCTGCATGAGACATGAACTGTGGTCAATAACGGACGCACGTGAACCACGGATGCTCTAAAGCTGCCTGAGCAGAAATGCGTTTCCTTGGATTCTTCTGCATTAGCTTCTTCAGAAGGTCTTTGGCCTGCAATGTGACACACTGCCAGGCCTCACCTGCAGCACCAGATACCATTCTGTGTAGAGGATGGATACTTTCAGTGATGCATGAGCTATTTACAAGAAAAACAATGCGAGAAGGTACCCTTGGGGTGACTGGTGTGTACTGTGCTACGCACCACACATCGAGGGCTCCTCTTGGAGAATCTTGTGCTTTATTGTATGCTCGTTGTCCACACCCGGCACAAAGAAGGGGTGGTAGCCGGAAAGTAGCTATTCACCACATCAAAGAACTCAAATGGAGCACTTTACATGTTGGTAGGCATAACCACAACGCTCCTTCCCACACAGGCAAACATTGTTGGTAGCATGTAAGCACCCACTCACACTGAACCATACCGTTGAAGCACGCCATAAGACACTTTAACGCTCTCCCGACGTCACGTAAGCACAATCTGCTTCGCCAGTGTTTGTTTGAACACGGTGTCAGGGCAGGGGGAAGCACTGGACTTGGGTTCTATAAGGGAACAGGAGCAAGAAGCGGTTTGGGGCACACGTGAACACTGAAACTGAGTACTGAAAGAGGTTGAAAGCAAGGAGACGCTTTTTGCCCATGCAACATTCGCCAAAACTTGACGCACCTGAAACATAATGATGCCCACAGAAAACAAATCGCATTTCTCATCGTACTGCCCTCGGATCATCTCGGGGGCCATGTAATGTGGCGTCCCCGCACGCTGCATGCGGACTCTCCGTACATACCTGAAACCACAAATCGGCACTGGAAGATGCAGGTACAGAGGAACCGTAGGGAAATTTCGCATCCACCAAATCTTCCTGGTCTTATCCGGTGTATGCACGCGGACAGCGGCCGTGCCAATGCTTAATAGGTAAACGTCTCGGCATACTACTTTGAAACAATTTTGAAACACCCACACAATAGCGGCCGAAGAGGGTAAGAAGGAAGGGGGAGGAGGTGCCACGAAGCAGGAGAGGCAAATTCTTTTTAGCATAAAAGCAAAAAGCCCCTTTCTACGGATGGCATAAAGGGTGTACGAGAAGTAAGCTAACTGATGCTGATAGGGAAAGCACAGCTACAGAAACAAGTACCAAGGGATGATATGCTTTCCGCCGATGATTGGAAACAGCTTGGCAAAAGCAGCAGTGACGCCAGAACGTCTCTCCTTGACTTCCTTTGCGGTCTCACGGAGCCGGTTCACAGTGCCGCTTAACCCAAAGTCGATGACCTGCAAGTTGAACACAAAAAGAAAAATGTAATCATGGTGTGACGCTCACGTGGTCTTCAATAGCGCCAGGTAATGGGTGACCACACCCACTTCTGTGAGTGGAATCCCTCAGGAAGGTCTTCCCCTTGTCTCTACCCCATTTTCTCACCTTTAGCGGCGAGTCATCAGATGCATCCACGAAAAGTATGTTTTCCGGCTTCAGATCACGGTGAACAACGCCTCGCTCATGACAGTAGGAACAGGCTGAGAGGATTTGTCTCATCCAGCCGCACATCTGCAAGGCTCACGAAGCGAAAAAGCAAAAAATGTTTACAACACGCTCTCTGCTCAACAGCATGAACACAAATAAACACAGCGCACCCTAAGCCGCAAAAACGTGACACAATTGCATGTGTTTTTTCAAGATGTGCAGCATTTAGAGAACAAATATTGTCCCCCCTTACACTGTTTTGTTTCATTTAAGACCCGGGACCAAAAATCTAAAAGCACTTTAATGAGATGCTCAAGATCCGGCAAAAGAAAAGATGAAATCTTCAAATAATCCACATTGAAGCGCTGTTGGGGCTATTGGATTGCCTCTTGCTTCTATCAAGTACAGAATTCTCGTGCCCTCCCCAGCCATCTCGTGTATGACTTGTCTGACCCTGCAGCATCCGATTTGTGAAAAAGCCAACGCTGCCTGTTCTACAGCTCTTTACGATGAAAAAAAGACAGCTCACCTGCTCCTCCGTAATTGGGCTTCTCATAACATCATAATGCTTGACGATGCGATCAAATAAGGGCCCTCCCTTGCACAGTTCAATAATGAGATAAATCGTGTATCCGTCTTGGTATGTTTCGAAAAGCTGCAGAGAAACGACGAGATATGAGAGATTGGAAGCACAAGTGGGCGCAAAATTTTTGATAGATACTAAAACGCAGCCAGAGCAAGCGTGACCATTACTCTGTAGATTACCAACTTCTCACCTTCATAATATTTGGATGATTTAGCGCCTTTAACAATTCCACTTCCGACTTTATAAGCTCCCACTGTTCTGGGGACTGGATAGCTGCTCAAAAATGAAAAAAACATGCAGTCCACAGCTGTGCAACCTTGACGAAATAGGTCAAATCGAGCTCCTAGGAGCCTTGAGCTTCCCTTTATTCACGATGTGCTTCTTAAGCTACACTGTTTCTGCCTGTATTTCGTAACGAGGTCGCTGATATTAAATTACCCACTGAAATCCACAGCCCTTGAGCCAGAGTTGCAAGCACATTATTTCAAGTGCATGAGAACAAAATTGATGCTGAAATACCCGAACAGTCCGAACCTGGCGTACCAATAGTTTTGCATGCTCTATTTGCAGCAGTTTTCCGGTGCGTAACTAGTTGAACTTTGCCGAAGCTTCCCTTGCCGACGACTTTACCGAATCTGTAATCCCTGAACACTTGGCATACTCCATGGTGCGCCGGGTACATGATATGTGATGCCAGCTGCATTCACAGGAATAGGACATGATGCCTGCTTCCAAGTAAGAAACAAGCTCAGGCAGATGGTGGAGAGCGAGTCACACGACAGCCACTAACTACTGTCAATACTCACGTGACAATACAGGGTTAAGCAAGCCTCTAGACAGCCAGACAAACGACTGGCGCCTGGGAGGTAAAATGGAATCTCAGAATTGACCAACGCATCTACCGCGATTCATGAATTGACACGGTACTAAAGGTCCCCCCGATAAGGAAACAATCACTGACAGACTTCTACAAGATCAATTCTTGAGCATCTGCCCATACATTTACAAGGCCCCCCAAGAAAATATGTGAGCATATGCACTTCATACATCACAAGGCCCACTAATGCGTTGCATCAAAAACAACAGCCAGACAGAAAATTTCGTAAACGCACCAACACAATATTCGCTTATTCGTCAAGGCGTAATCACTAGAATGACACTGATACTCTTTTGACCCCTTATTCGAGAGTGTTCACGGCGTATAAAAGATTCCGGAGCAATGAAGACTTTACCTGGACGCTTTGGTCAGACAGAGAGCCCCCTGCAGCTGTAACGCTGAGCTTGGATGGGTCAGAGGCTGTGGACGCATCCGTTTGTAGCGGGCCTGAAACCTGTAGTCAAAGAACGTGCATTGCCACCAACTGCAGACTTTGAAAACACTGAAGCTCTCATTCCCTAACACCGTTGCTGTGACTGGGCAAGTTTGTATGCATGTATACATGTACGTATGTCTATATGTATGTATTTATGTGTACATGTATGTGCGTGAGTGTGGGTGCCTTGCAGCCTAGAGTCATTTTAAAACGGCCTGTGGCCATTCGCTATGTAAAACTGGTACTTTTCCTACAGATAGCAGCAGGCACTACTTGCGTCCGCGCTCGACGCCACTAGCATCCAGTGAATAAGCAAACGTTAGACAAATGCGGCATGGTGGCCAAAAGCTCCGTAGTGGATATGCCACGACCCCATCCCATATCTATGAGCCCCCTTAAGCCCTTGCTGCAATCCATAGATAGAGTGCGAATGCAGCTCTTTCTGTCCGACAGTTAGAATCCTGCTCGCAGCCTCTCAGGAGTTTAACTGCGTTTCGAGGCTCCTAAAATCACGATGTTGGGCGCAGCGTTTTACGAGGCCCCCGCACAGCCGCAGCACAGAAGCCAAGAGCAGAAGCTGGTTTCTTCCTCGACAGGCTTTTTCTCATTTTCCGCAGGAATAGGCTCCTGCTTTGGCTTGTCTTGGCCTGTAGAACACGCCTTTTCGGAGACAATAGAGCAGTCCTCTTCAGAGGGCGGAGGTTTGATTACTGGGAACGCGATCAGGGACAGATGCTGGATATTCGAGCCAGCGGCTGCCTTATTGAGGTCCTCCTGCTCCACAGACGCTTTTACTTGGGAGGCAGCATGGTAGCGGCTTCTGTTGCTAGGCGGGGCTTTTTGGTGGGTTTCTGCGTGAGATCCGATGCCTACTTTTTCCCCAATAGAGTGAACTGTCTTGTCCACCCCTCCCCTAATCGTAGCGGCAAATGCATGCAGCGATTTCTGGGCTCTGTGCGACAGAGTGTCTCTCTTTGCCCTCCCAGAGGTTGAGGAAGGGGCTGGAGCCACGTCGGAGAGCCTTACGCCCGTGGAATCCCCCGCTACCCACGAAGCTGTCCACTCGGGTTCAATCAATTTACTGGTGGCTCGGGTTGTGAGGTTGTCTTGTTGGCTATTCCTCGCGTGAGGGCTGGTTGGGTCGTTAGATGCATCTAGTGGGGTGTGCCGTGCCGGATGTGGCAGGAAGACAGAATCCTCAGAGCTCTCCGAAAAGCAGCGCTCGTCATCGACGACATCTCCATCCGCAGCAGCAGCGACGGCGTCTCCAGCGGCACCAGTCAAAGGGTCTGTAACCCACTTCCTTGACACCTTGGGGAAAAAGGTTCTGCGGGGAGAGCAGAGGGTGGCTGGCGATGCTTCAGGGCATGGCAGCGTCAAAAACAATTGGGGTTGAAAAGAAACAACGTCGACGGTATCGCGTTGCAGCCCATCCCATCTACCGCTACTTTGGCCGCGGCTTCCGATGCAACTCGGGTGTACAGACACTGTCGCATTGCCGAGTCCACCTTCCGCAGCGGACTCGCGAGCCGTTCGTTGGGCTGCGGGAGCTCCACATCTGCTGTTTCGTTCATCATGGAGAGTCTGCATAGTGTGCATCCCTCCCGCGAGGCTTTGCCAGCGCAATGCCCCCTGCCAAAGGTGCTGATGCTGAACGTGCTCCATCGCGTGTGGTGGATGCAGGTCTACCGTTTTTGAACGCACCAATTGCAATGAAATAAATGCAGTGGCACCTGTTTTACAAATAAGACTCCCCCTGCTGCTGACAGCAGCACTGCAGCGACTTGGGGCATCAATCGTAGCAGGCTGGACATGAAGGCTCCCACAGCGGCAACTGCATCTGCTGCATCCACGAGGGGCCGCGGTGGGAGACTCTGATGCAGAGCTGCTCCTCATTCCTGCGTTGAACTTGGGAACTGGCTGTTGCCCTTCTCTACACTGGCAAAGCTGACGACGCTGTGTAGCTACAAGGCTTGCAGCAGATGCTACACAATTGGGCGAAGCACTTTCTTTCCTCACGACTCGCGCATCCCCCAAACTCCGAATATCGCCTCCACGCACGAAATTTAAGCTTTTGCTGAAGTTTCTGGATATGCTTTGGGGAACTTTTGGGTGATATCCCGTGAGCTGAGGATCAATCATTGACAGCAGCAAGTTCCCCGTGACTGTATGCTTCCGGTCTTCCAACGCTCTTCTATTGAAAAGCGATGCAGCTTTTACAGCACTTGAAACGGATCTCATGACCAGCGGCTTCACAGGCTCTCAAACCTTTCATCCGCCATGGTGAATAAGCGGGCAAAAAGAAGGTGCAGCTTTGGGTGCCCCTGGGTAATGCCACTCATGACTATATTCTTAAGTGGCTATTTCAATCACCAGTAAATACTAGCAGCCGCAAAAATGCAACCTTTCCTTAGCTATGGCAGTTGCCTCTTTACAGCGCCTTCGCGCTCTGGAAAACAAGCGAAAAGATGCCACTAAAGTAATCGTAGACAAAATCCTAAACTAAGCTCGCACGGAAATTCCATTCCAACAAAGGGGTAGGCAAACCCATACCTGCAAAAACCACCCAGGCAAGCAAGGATATCTCCTGTTGAGACTTTATGATGGAGCAAAATTCATCGATTCTCGCCTAGCGCATGCAGCAGTCATATATGATAATATGCCGTTGAAACACCTGGTGTCCTCCCTTTAGCGCCTCACCCCCTCCGAAATGCGTGCGAACAATGCTGGATAGTAACCCCGCATGCATTTGCCCCGCAGTTCACACTGAGTGTCGTTGTACCAATTTATAAAAGTCATCCCAAATAGTACATTACCCTCTAGTCCCCCAGTTCTGCAGGAATGCTTGCAAGGGTCGCTGCCTGAGGGCTCTTTGGGGCACTAATGGGCGGAATTCATCCTATTCAACTGGAGTTTATGGAGGTGTTACGCCGATCACGGGGATGAAATAGCGACTGTTTGGGTACCTGAGGCTGAGGTCTCCGTTTGCTACGTTTGAGGAGCTTCTCGTAGTGGTGGGCGTGATACTACGAACAGTTACACACGGCGGAAGCCAGATACTTCTTACGAATAACAGCATATGCACAGGTGGAAAAGCCTAAGTAGGTGCATTTGTAGTCATTAAAAGGTACCCTGCAACACGTGTGGCGTGATGCGCATGAACCACACCAAAAACAAGCAAATAGGTATGGAAATGAACTTGACTAGAAAGACAAGCACCTGGCGGACTATGTCTTCAAACGCCTCACGATCGATTTCCCCATCTTTATCGACGTCATAGTTCCTAAACACTAAAAAAGCAAAACGCACGTCAGCAGCTGCTAATATGCTGTAAATAGTTTGATCGTAGGTAAAGCAAAACAGAAGAAACGAGCAAAAGAGCATACAGCAGCATCGCAACCATCACGTATGCAGTTTTCGCCACAGCCGGTCACTAAGTCTCACCTGCAGAGTACCAATCACGATCTGGTAGAGGCACGACTGGCTGCAGCCTCTTGAAAACGAACTCTAGGCCCTAACACACCCACACAGACAAAATACCACTAGCCTCTCCAGGTGTAATGTTCTACGCGAGCTAACTTAAGAGCCAATGAGCAGTATATTCCCTGCACGCACAAACCTATGCCCGATTACCTCCAAGAAGCAATCGCCTCACTGGCTGCTCTGAAATACTTTATGCACCATGAGCGGGGCAAAGAGTTCCTGGCCAGGGTCAAATTGGCAAAAACTGGAGTATCCAAAAGCAGCGTGGCTATATTTCTACCGCAGCTGTGCAAGCGCGTGGGGCGGGAATGACTCACAGTGCCAGCTTGCATGAGGTTGACGTGATTTTTGCCGTGGCTGATTCCATTAAAAGCCTCATCAATAAGTCGTCTTATCATCTGGTCGTTATCTTCTTCGAAAGGGTCTGCAATGTGGAGTTTTCCCTTATCAAAGGAAGACATCCTCGGCAAAATACGTGTGCCTGTATTGTTCACACCGCCTAGAGAACAGTTTGAAAGGGGAGACAAGGGTCAGACGTAGATATGCACGAAGGAAGTTGTGAAGAGATATAACGCTTCTCGTGCAATGGACTTCCAGATTCCCCTCAACACCAAGACCGCACAGTCCGCAATTTCTTCGTGAGCCACGATTTTATGAGTGAAGACGGGAACGGTGGAGTGAGTCAAGTGCAAATGACTCTATGGCAACAGAATTTGAGCTCGGGTGCGACGCCTAGGCGGTGTGGAAGGACGCCGTGTGGTCCTCATTGCCCACGTAGAGCAGCATGCTGTGTTTTCTGTGGGCTTGATGTAGAATAAAGTCCAGGGGTGCACAATAGATATGGCGCCACTGAACACGAAGGATCACCGCTACGGTCGACGTCCACACAGCGGTGCAGTAAAAAGTGGGGCCATCAAGACGCGCTATGCACTCTGTCTCACCCTAAAGGTCAGCAGGGTAAGTCGCTTAAGTCATTTCAGGCTGCCTTGCCACTGTGAGGCAGTCTAGCTTGTAAAGCGAAGACCTCCCACGAGCAGCAGCTGTTGCTGCAAGCGTGGGCAGCTACTGTGGAATGCACGGCAGTGCGACCCACTGCAATATTTCAGGGACTTGGAACAAATTCCATGAAGATTTTACACTTTCTACCGCACATTATGCGCTGCCGCCCCAAAACTCTGCAGGAACACGCCGAAACGCACCCTGGCGTACCATGTGACCTTACACACTCACGAACCAGCCGGTCAAAACAAGAGGAAAGTCACCAATGCACGAACATATAACTAAGAAATATCTTGTTGATTCAGAACTCGGAGGGAATGAATATCTGAAACCTTCGTAATTCCAGGTGTGAATGAGGGATACTCGCAAATGCAGTATGCCGTGTTCATACGGTCACCAACCTCCTTCGTGAACCAGCGTTGAATCAAGACATGACAGCTCAAAATCTTGTAGTGTTTCACCACTTCAAGCGTTACCCCTAGCATAATACGTGTTTTATAGCCCTTATGAGGTGGAAAGCAATGTTAAGGTCAGTGTGCGTGGATTCTAATCAACGCCGGGACCGGTCCTATTGCAGTCAATTTACTGCGCACCTTACCAGTACAGTTGAAAATAAACCTGGTGGTTAATTGCCCATATAATAGATGAATGAAGAGGATAATCAGCTTACGTGGGAATTTTAGGCCTTAGTTTTGCCATTTAATATGCTAGACCAGTGCCGCGTTCTGAACTGTGTGTAGCGGTTTGTCACAAGGTGAGCAGTTACTCTATTTAAGGGGGGCCTTTAAGTAAGCCTTAATTAAGGATGAAAACATGGTCAGCTAGCACATAAGTGATGCTCGCTGCGAAGAATCGTCACCACATTACAAGACGCACAAATGTTGAACCTCTGATTAGTTACTGTACACGACTGTCCGCTACTGTGTGGATTACTCACGATGCAGCTCCGTACACCCCTGCAACCATTCCTTCCCACTAGGCCGAGAACCCTGCGCCTCTAGGACGAAGAGGGAAAAAGGCTCTTGGTTGGTATCTGGGCCAAAGCATTCCTTCACGTGTTAACTGTTTTCAGGCCGAAGGTCGCTTGCTGGAGGCCCTAATTGGAGCGCTATAGTCTAAAAGGATTTAGAACATTTATACCAAGCTTTACCTCATTTTGTCTGGTGTGTTTTAAGCTATTTGTGTGAGACGCTGCTCCACATCGCCAGGACTTGTCCAAACAACAGCTTCGCCACTTTCTACAGCACTAGTTACATGTAGCTAACAATCGAGTAAAAATTGATAAATTCGGTTTCTGTAAAAGACTAATAATAATTATTGAGCGAACAATAAAATGGAACGCGGTGGGCGTGTGTGTTGCATGCTCTGTGCAGCTAATTATGAGTGCTTAGAGCAATTACAAGGGAAAGCTACGCAAACCACAGCTATTATTCCTTCATGTTGTTACCCTGACGGGCACTGCCAGAAGAACAAGGGAGTTTTGTCCGTAAAGAAAGCTTGGTAACCTTCAAGCTATGTGTGTATTGAGTAGGTAGCTAAAGGTTTGCTTACGGAAACCTTATACGGAACAGCACTTAGTTGCCGTTCTAGTGGATTATTCCAGTGCACAGTAACGTTCGTATACATTGTGGATTCTGTGGGCGGAAATTTCCAATTTCTTAATGCGGTAATAATATATAAGTGCGCTTTCCTGCTTCAACTTTGTCAATTTTCCCAGAGCTTTTACTTGGGCTGATCTTAGCTTTTCACAATGAGTCATGGCTTAGGTAAGGGACTTAATTGTAGTATTCCCTGTTGGCACACAACTGCCTCCCCAAAAAAATAGCCACTGTTGAAATGATAATCGCTCCAATAAACATGTCAAACGGAACACTCGTTTCTCTTCGTATACGGGTTAACAGCGAGGTATATCTGCAGCTGGCTTATCAGATCTTTTACAAACTATCTTTCCTTCTTGCTGTCATCCTTTTCTGGTAGACATAAGCTGGTAGACGCATACGTAATCATTATGTCAGCTGACAAAAATCATTCCTTTCTACCAGGTGTGGACCTACTGCGTTCGCGACAGCTTGCAGGCTGGCCTCTGTCGCGCCAACAGGTACTGTGCCATTTCCAGCTTTCATCATCAGCGCTTAGTTGCAGGCTCAATACAGACTTAATCTAAGGATTATTGCGTGTCCTTTTGAAGTACTCTTTTCATTTCCTGCCGCTGCGCGTTCGATTTTTCTGACAGGAGGGAAGAGGGGCAGCTAACGTGGGTTGACCACCCAAAGCCTTCACAGCTAGTTGCACGTAGCACTTAGCGCCCCCTCACACATCATTGCGGCCTCCTCTACCAAGCCAACAGTACTCTGCAATAACTAAAATGTCTGAACAGAAAACCCAACAAGGCAATTCTTTACTAATTTTGAGTTACACATGACGTGTAGTAGAATGTGTTTATGCATAGCTGTTGTCCCCTACAAAAAAGGTCTCCTCGATTGAGGCGCTAACTTTGCTACCGAACACCCAAGATGAAATAAGTGCAAACACTCTATCGTGTGGCTCTTCTTTCATTCTACTCGTTGCGGAGATAGTTTGGGCTTCCCTGCTAGAATATGTGCGTGGTAGCCTTGCCTCCAAAACAGTGTCCTCTTTAACTTCAGCAAGAATACTAATATGCAGAGCAGAGAGCAGATCATCGCATTTTTTTCAAGACATTCAATGCAATCTGTTTAAGGCACTAGTCCCTTTGGTTACACCTGGCTGAGAGGCAAGCTACGGGAACCAGAGCGACTTCGTACTTCAAGCTCTGCATATATCCTCAACAACAACACAGAACCCAATTGCCATTAGGTGAAACGCGTACTGCACAATTTCAGGTAGGCGATACTGGTGTCACCTGATGGATTCACCTCATGAAGCCACGTGGAAGTCGTCCTGAAAAGATGCACTGGGCGAAGCGCGTTCTAGATTTTCTTGCTCACAAACTCGGTACCGCGCCTACAGCTTATTCTTTTGCAGAGAGTAAGTCTGAAAACAAAAATAGCAATAAAACTGTATCGGCATTGGTGAGGCGTAGTGGCTATACTTTGCCTCAGCCCGCAAGTGGCGCATGCGCAGTCCACAATGGGATGGTCAGGAGAGCAACGAAGCGCCCGATTCTGTGTTATGCCGAGCACCTTATCTGATAATATACTTGGATCTCCCATACATCTTTACCTAAAATTGATTCAACAACATCATTATGGAAGGGCGGGGTCCAGGTACTTCCTCATGAGCAAGGTGTACGACGCGGCCTTCGGCAGGGGTGCATGCACGCTTTCTTGCCTCTTGGGGTGACTTTGTCGGGCTGTATTTCGCTCAAGCGCTTCCAGCGTGTGCTTGAAGAGCGCGTGCGTCGTACAGCATCGGCGCCAATCCGAGGTTTCCTGATTCTGCTGAGACTTTGCATGCGGTTGAGTGGTCATCCAAGAAATCCTACGCCCTCTAGAGGATGGCCGTAGCAGGACCTTCCGAAGAGGGTAGAGGGGTAAATTCGCCTTCCGCGCCTGCCTCGGAGGGCGCAATGCGAGGGGAAAAAGAAGGTTCTGGAGAAGATGCCCAGGCAGCAGCGGAAGCTGCCGAAGCGGCAGCCGCTTTAGACCTCAGTGAGCTAGTTGGGGGCGATGCGGATATTGCATATGAGCAAGAACTGCGGCGCGATCCATACCAACTAAAGGTTTGGCTTGCCTATCTAAAGAGCAGAGCGGAGGCGAAGCCGGCAATTCGGTACGATGGAGTGGCATTTGTACAGGGGAAGCAGCCTTTACTCCTACCCGTCTGTCTGTCTGTCTTGAAACGCATGTGCTGAGCGAGCTGCTTCTGTGTGCCTCGCCTCGCGCGAACGGTTGCCGGATGTCAGCAAGCGCTATATCTGCCTTCCTTTCTGTCGATGCGCCGTGTTTCCAAGTGTATGGACTGTTGGCGTACTTGTATCAACCCGCCTCCCCACGTGAACTTTTTCTCAGCCTTTGTGCGATAGATCTCCCGCCAGCTTCTGCACCGCGTTTGTTGCCTGCATGTGCTTGACCATCTACTGGAGCCCATGCCCGTGCGCCTTCCTGCAGGTTCGTGATCTACGAGAGAGCAGTCCGATCTCTGCCGGGGAGCTATAAGCTGTGGAGGCGATATCTCTTGGAACGTGTGGCTCTCTGCAAGAGCATAGCGCAGCCTCCCTCGGGGCCCTCAGCAGCTCCTCTGTATGCAGCTACCAATGCGGCGTTTGAGAGGTGTCTAGTCCACCTTTCCAGGATGCCAGAGATTTGGCGTATGTATTTAAGCTTTCTGCAGGAGCAGCAGCAGCTCACGCGCTGTCGCCGGGCATTCGATGCCGCGCTGAGGGCGCTTGCAGTGACGCAACACGAACTCTTGTGGTCAGATATGATGGATTACGTCAAGGCAAGCGGCGTCTCCGACCTCTCCCCCTTGCCCCCCTTCTTTCTTTCCTTCTGCTCTTGAAATCTCGCGTGTTTGCCGCCGCTGCCGCTGCGGTGTATACGAGTGGAGCTCTGCGAAATGCAGCAGCACCTCTGGCTTGTGTTGCTGCCATCGCATTCTGGGTAGCAAAAAGCCATTTCTCTCCCCAAACTACTGCGCATACAGCTGTTTAGCAGCAGTCCTTCAAATCCATGTGCGTTCAGAAATGCGGCGTCTCCGAAACGGCCGTGTGTATGTACCGGCGCTGGATAATGCTGGAGCCAGAAAGGGGTGACGAGTTCGCGCTGTACTTGAGCAGCATTGGCCGTTATGATGAATCCGCGAGTCAGCTTGCGGCTATGGCGAGCGACCCCACCATTACTCCCGCCTCGGGGAGGACGCGTCACGAGCTTTGGCTCGAACTGTGTAAGCTTGTAGCCGCGCATTCCGACTCGATTCATTCTATGAGGGTCGAAGACATCTTGAGGAGCGGCATCGCACGCTTTTCAGACGCAGTGGCCTCTCTGTGGTGCTCCTTGGCATCTCACTATGTTCGCATGGGACTGATGGCGAAGGCGAGGGATATCTACGAAGAAGCTGTCTCTTCAGTTTCCACCATAAGAGACCTCGCCCTCGTGTATGAGGCGTACGCTGCCTTTGAGGAGGCTGTAGTTGCCAAGCTGCTGCAGGGGCAGCAGCAGGAGCAGCACGCGGATCCTGCAGCTGCTGCAGCTGCGGCAAAGGAAATCGATTTTGCCATAGCTCGCCTGGAACGGCTTACCGAGAGGCGACCCCTCCTCATCTCGTCTTGCAAGCTTCGTCAGAACCCCCACAACGTGCATGAGTGGTTGGCGAGAGCCGAGTTGATGCAAGACGATCCGAAGAAGGTAGGCTAATTGACAGCGGTATAGCACCGGAGATGTGCTGCTGCAGCTGCGTTGTTGTCGTTGCCGCTGCTGCTGCCGCTTATTTTGTGCGAGAGCTCGTCCTGACACAGATGCTGCACTGCTGCTGCAGCTACGCGCGCGCGTAGCTGCGGCTTCGTCATACCGTAGAGACGGCGGCTGCCCCCTGTCCCCCCTTTCCTCCCTCCCTGGACGGTAACTACACAAAAGTGTATGTAATATGCATGTATGTGTGTATGTATGTGTATGTATATGTGTATATGTATGTATATGTATGTATATGTACATTTATATGTATATGTATATGTGTATATATATGTATATGTATGTATATGTGTATGTATATGTATATGTGTATATGTATGTATATGTATATGTGTATGCATATATATGTGTATATATATGTGTATGTATGTGTATATGTATGTCTATGTTTTGAATGCATGCATATACGGGACATGATGACCGTGGTGCTCTTGGTGGTGTCACTGCTGCGGCTGCTGCAGGTTGTCGAGACGTTTACGGAGGCTGTTGCAACTGTGAAGGCGGATCAGGCAGTTGGTCGTGTGGGAGTTTTATGGATCGCGTTTGCACGTTTTTACGAGGCACACGGAGACCTCGAGAACGCAGCCAAAGTTTTTGAACGGGCTGTCCAGGCTTCTTTCCGAACCATTGACGATTTGGCGTCAGTGTGGTGCGAGGCTGTCGAAATGCATCTGCGGCATGGCCTCTTCAAAGAAGCCCTTCGGCTCGTTCGGTCGGCTGTGAGAAGCTCTCGGAAGAGCCAAGAGGCGAAGGAAGCGCAAAGCCGTCTTTTTAGATCCGTCAAGCTTTGGGCTCTCACGGCTGACGTTGTACGCCCTCTCTGCATGCGTTGTTGTGATCGAAGGCGTGCTGCTGCGAGCTGGAACCTGCATGCGCAGCCGGGGGAGATGGGGGGGAGGGGAGAAGCACCGTGCAGTCACAACACGCTGCCAAATAACGCCTTTATGCCCAGAATCGCGCTATGGGGTTATCCTCATAAGGCGGCAAAGCATCGCAGTCACTGCGTAAATTCCACATCATGCGCTGTGGGCTATTCGCTTGCAGCCACGAGCACCGGGCACTGCTTGATGTGGCAGCATGTGTGCGCTGTATGCAGGAAGAAATGTTTGGATCCATGGAGACGGTCCGGGCATGCTACGACAAAATGTTTCAGCTAAAGGTCATCACGCCTCAGCTGGTTATCAATTTTGCACACTACCTCGAGGTATTTGCGCGCGCCTTCTCTCCCGTGTGCATGCAAGTCGTATACGTGCAACTTGAATCTGCATCGGTAGAGCTTTAAGGGGTGGTATGAAGAACTTGGCGGACTTCCCCCTGACTAAGAGTCCGGCTCTGCGTGTTTTTGCCCATAGGAACGGGGATACTATGAGGAATCTTTCCGTGTCTATGAAAGAGGCATTGCTGCTTTCCACTGGCCTCATGTCAATGCCATTTGGCTCATGTACTTGACCAAGTTCGTTTCTCGCTACCGCAGTACAAAACTCGAACGCGCTAGAGAATTGTTTCAGCAAGCGACAGCAGACGTGCCTCCCAAATACGCAAAAAATCTGTTTCTGCTGTACGCAAAGCTCGAGGAGACTTACGGTCTTGCAAAGCACGCGCTTGCCATCTACAGTGCAGCCACAAAGGCCGTGCTGCCTGAAGACAAGCTCGACATGTTCTGTGTCTACATTGCGAGGGTGAGGACTCTATTTCTGCGTACATGCGTATAACCGTAAGGGATGACAGGCAGTCGTCCGTCAACCTGGATGCCCGTAGAGCGTTGCTTGCGTGTTTTTCTCTTGCGGTCAAAAATATCGCTATTTTCTCCTACCGACATGCTTGAGTGTGAAAACGGTTTTTATTCATGTGAGATCATAGGGATCCATGCATATACATGCAGGGTAATGTCTGTAGATATTTAAATGCATGAATACATGCATGCACCTGCACTACAACCTGTGCGAGCGAATGTAGGAGGGCTTCTGTTTCATTGGTGGATGCTAATACATGGGTTTTAATATGTATGAGGGTATATTTTGTGCAATATGCACCCACGAAAGCACGGACTTTGTCTTCTGCAGACGAGCGAGCTGTTCGGGGTTGCCCGAACGCGGAAGATCTTCGAGGAGGCCATCGAGACGCTTCCCTCTAAGGATGTACGCGCTGAGTTGCACTTCTTGAAGGGCCACTTAGATGACTGCTTATTCGGATATTATGCAGCCTTATCGGTCATTAGAGTCCCTAGTTTGTGCTGAGAATAGTGCGCGTACACGTTGTTAGGTCTGGCAGGAGATGTGCTTTTAAAAACCCAGCCGTTTAGAGCGTTTGGCGGTGTGGACATGGCTGGCTGGTTATCTGTGTCTGTAGCCTGGAGATTGGATCTGCTGTGTGCTTGCATGCTCCTGCTTCCATCTACGTCGAATTGCTGCCCTGCCTATTGCCAACGAATCCGTACTGTGTAGTAGATGCGCACACAGTTGGCCACTCAGTGATAAACGGCTTCTGTCAACAGCACGTTTTCCGTGGACATGAGACTTCAGTCTACGCTGTTCGGTGGTTATGCGTGCCAATATGCATACTCGCACACTCTTCGGTGACCTGTGCTGTGCGTATTTTTCCGCATGGTGAGGGTGTCTACAAGCGCATGATCCATTCTTTCTCCCCTCTACTGTATGGCTGTTGTCTTTGCATACGCTTCTCACAGGTGCGGAGAGTATGCATGCGTTACGCCACTGTCGAGAAATCTCTGGGCGAAATCGACAGGGCGCGTGCTATCTACCAGCACGCGGCAAATCTGTGTGACCCTACTAAAGACCAAGAGTTCTGGGATGTGCGTTTCCGCGCCAGTCGCTTGACGCACCTGTGCCCGCTAGAGGGGTTCTGTCTTGTTTTCCAACTTTTTTTCCACCCCTTCCCTCCCTCCTCAGGCGTAAAAGCAGTGCTTGCCGCCTTTATCCCTTGCAGCTGCCTACAACGCTCTGCGCTCGCAGTACAAATAGGTTGATTGCGGGGGAGGCAAGGCGGGGAAGGGGGGCCGTGCAGCTTTACGGGTATTCTGTGTGTGTATCGTTTGTCGCCTTCCCTAACTAGTTAAGACGAGTGTCTTCCGGTGTCTGCACTGCAGGAATGGCGTAACTTGGAGGTTGCCTACGGCAACGAAGATACCTTTAAGGACATGCTGCGGATTAAGAGAAGGTACAGAACTCTCATTTGCTAGATCTCGTTTTGCTGCCGTGCGCGGGCTTCACAAGGGGCGGGAAACCGGGTGCACCGTTGCGGCAAATTTCATGAATGTATTTGCATGCACATGCAACTTCCTTCAAGGACGGCTTTTATTTTTGCTGTATATTGCTTGAGAAAATCGTTGAGGCTGTTTAGATGCCAGATTGGGGGTTGCTCTGCCCGTAAACTTGCTGCGGCGACCGCAGCAGCGCTGCGAGGACGGAGGCGCATTGACGGACGGTCCAAAAAAGTCCGTCTTGGGGGTTTTCGCTGAGTTTTCTTTTTCCTTGCAATGTGCCCGTTCGCCTGTACAGCGTGATTGCACAGTACAGCCAAGTGCACCACAACGTTGCCGAGCTTACCGCGTCGGAGGTGCCTAAGCCGTTACCCGCGGACCCCGTGAAGGAGGCAGCTGCGCAGCTTGCGAGAGAAGAAGCTGAGCGGCAGCAGGCTTTGCGGCAGGAGGAGTCGCTTCAGGAGCAGCTGCGTTTCCAGCAGAAGCAACAAGCAGAAATGCAAGAACTGCAACAGGCAGAAGCCGAGTTTCAGGAGTTGCAAAGGAGCAGGCGACAGGCTGCCACACTTGCGTCTCTGCAGAGTGACGCCCCGATGTTTGTTGCGTCCAAGGCCTTCGACGTGCGTCCAGAAGAGCATGTGGAAATGCTTGACAGGGGATGGGGGGGGGGGGAAATCTGCGCAGATCAGAGGCGGTTTGCGGGGGAGCTGGGTGCGAGATCCGACTGCTTGTTTCTGTACGAGCAGGGGCCCCTCCTGCATGGGTGGGAGGGTCTTCTGGGGCAGACGAATCCCCAGGCAGGCAGTCGTATGGCGCAATTCCGCAGTCGGCCGTTGTGTGGGATTTGCTGCAGGGGGTGCGACTCGGATATGCCTTCAAGACAGGAGCCCAAGGACTTGGATATTATTTGGACGAGGCTCAAGTGGGTAGGGCATTTTTGGAGTCGCGCGAGAAGGCCTTCTTGCAAGGTGCGCGGCTACTAGGGAGGAGTCCTAGTAACACCGACAAGGCGCCTGTTAGAGCTCGACGGCAGCAGGAGGAGGTGGATATTGACCTAGACGACATGCCTGTGGAGGAGAAGGGCGTACCTGACACTGTGTTTGGCTCCTTGAAGCGCCAATGAAGCGCGGGCGTACACCATGAGTGCCCTCACGAGGAATGGGCTTCTTGGGCAAGTGCAGCAATACACTTTGCTGCTGTCTTCACGGGTGTGGCGCGAGCTGAAGTTGCCTAGGTGCGCAGGGCAGGCGCTCTGCGCGAATGTCTGTGGGTGGCGTAGATTGCTTTATAGTGCACGAACATGGGGGTTCCGGAGGCGTCTCTGTCGGTTAGTGCTCCTCGCGTGGCAGGGCCTGCAAAAATTGACGCATCCCACCATTGCAGATGTACATTTCACGCCAGTATACGAAAGCCTTCAAAGCCTTTGTTGCCACTAGCCGCTCCCTCTGGGTGTCTGAGCCGTTCACACGCCTGCTAGTTCGTCACGTAGTGCCGTTTAGCCACATGGTGGTATGCCCTTATTCGACAGATCGGGGCGCTTTTTAGCTTGCAGGGGACCAGGTATTGCGCTTCTAGTTACTCAGCACCCTCTCATGAGAGTAGACGGGCTGCGTAGAGGTGTGACAATAGCACACGCACACAGAGAGTGGTGCCACTCAATCAAAATTCAGTAGCAGCCTGTACACCACAGCCGTTGCACATGAACTGCTGTGAACCTTGGCAACATGAGAGACGAATCCAACCCTGCAGTGGTGCCAAGAAGTGTCTTTTTCTCTACACTCATGCCATACTGGTTCCCCTTCAGCTCTTCCCTGAATATCGCGCGGCGGTCTGCACAGTCGTACAGGAAAGGGGTCATTTGCACTTCTTTGCTATGCATGCGACCATTCGTACAGGCGCATAAGTTTCTAGCTTTGCGCGGTGTGTTTCAAATCTCTGCCTATGGGAATGAGCATGTATACTAGGTCAAGCTTGTTGGTAAACATCCACTGCTGCGTTTACGAAATGAGTAAGCGGCTCCATCTGTCTAACATGTTGTGCTCACCCCACGCAAGCATGATAATCTTTACAATTCAGCATGACCCCACACTCTGGCAGCCAAATGTCATGTAGTCGGACTCAGGGAAAATAGGACCATACAAGTCAAAAGTACGTGCAGTAGCAGGTTATTGTGGACAGATGAAATTGATCTACAAACAGCACTCCCTGCATAAATATGCAACGGGCGTATGCGCTAGCGCGGTGGGCACGAACGCGCTTTGTAGAGAGACCAGCAGTTCAATTTGTCAAGCCCGAGCTCCACAAAGCCCCTATGTCTTATGGAGTATTAGTGATGTCATACTTCGCAGAGTTCATCCTAAACTAATCCTGCACGCTGCGTCTTAGAAGTTCGCACTGAAAGGAGTGAGCCAAATTTGGGTAAGCCTTAGAACAGCGTGCACGAGTCCAGCCAGGCAGCTCAAGGTATCGGTTTTCCCCAACCGCTAGCCTCAGAAGGGATGCACTTGTTAGGCTCTTGCCACTTCTCGGGTAGAGGGAAAATTCGTTGTTTGCTCTCAACACAGATAGCGTTTCAGGGCGAAGGATTTCAGGAAACAGCACATACGGAGACGCCCCCAGGCCCGCTACACACACAGAAGGGTATACAGCAATAGCTGTGGTTGAGGGGACGTAGGTGACAACAGGAAGTGTTGCTGGGTGCCGGGGAAGGCTCTTCGCAGCATGCCGCGCTTCTTTGGTTATGCACAGTTCCATTCCCAATATACTTCATGTTTGGCGTTTGATTGTTTGGGGGTCGCTTAATGTAAAACTCTTTCTAAATGTGATGGAAGTTGGAGGGAATTCTTTACTACAGTTAGGTCTTTTACTGCAGATAATAGAATTGCTTTATTCTTGCCTCTTGTCGCAATGTCTTACTACGATATAGGGGGGCTCATGTAGAGCTTTGCGATGCGTTTTAGCAGCAAGCTAAGTTACAGGAAATAGCTAAGGATTGATGCGTTATTGTAAATTGCGTATTATGCTCTGTTAATAAGAATCAATAAGACTCGATTGCAGAGTTCATTTTTGCTCAAGTGTGAAGACATTAAGCTTCGCATATGTGAGGAGAATTCCACACGCTTTCTAGCATTGGCGCCATAATCTACTAGGCATTGCAAAAAGCGGTGCTTCGGAGGCTGGATATGTAGGGTTCTGCGAGTAGCGACTCTTCGCGAGACCCACAGGTTTGTACATGGTCAGGCTGCCAGTGAGTCTGAAAACCCCTAGTGCAGCATATGGTAAGATAACACGTAGAATATAGCGCTCTCCAGTTTAAAATTAAGCGGCAAGCAAGCAGCGAAATGGAAGCTGCAGGCCAAGGGAATAGGATGATGGAAGCGCGCATAATCGGCTACGGATTCCCTAATATCTGCCCCAGGACCCCTTGTGCCAGCTTTCATCGCATCGCTTGACTTGAGCTCAGCAGCAGATCATCAGCTTTAGCTACTGAAGTGCGAGTTCTCGCGGAGGGCTCGTGTCTTTCAAGGACCCCTTTTCGCTGGTACGGGAGTGTGTTGTCCATACAGATATGAGGCTACAGGTGGGGCTGAGCGGAGTCTCTAGGGGGCTTGTAGTCCTTGCGACCCCGGCACTATTTGCTGACATTTTTAGCACCCAGCATGCAAAGCTCCCAAAGAGTTTGCTTGTACCAATGTCTAGAATTCCATGCTGCCTACGGTGCAGGATGCTCATAGTCTTATTCCGTACAAACACGGAAAATTAAATATTTTATGATTGTGTAGGCACCCGACACCACAGTTGACTTAGCTGAGGGAAAACAATACTTCACAATGAACTTATAGCTTTTTGCCTTATTTATCTTCCTGATAAAACGCAACGCAAAGTCATGCTAGGGCCCCCTCATTCAGTTATAAGAAGTTGTAATCAGAGGAAAGGGCAGGGCATCTCTAGAGATTGCAGCTAAAGCAATGACTGTAGTGAATAGTTTACTACTTGCCAGTTCCACAAGTTTCCTCGTTTGTTCCTCCTAGGAAGTGGCGGGAGGAAGGGAACGCTTTCGCTATCTTGCGAGCAGCTGATCTTTGACGGTGGCGTATGGATCATGATGGCGAGTTTGAAAAGAGGGGTGCTGCGGTCTACACTTCACTTCAACACTTCCAGCTACAATAAATGCATCCAACTAGCGGTATGTAAAGAATTGACCAATTGGTTAATCTGCTGGCACAGCTGTTTATGTAGAGTGGTGTTCGCTCAATACAACAAGACAACTGCTGTTTGCCAATGCAGTATATGCGATTTGCAACGTGGAGTGGATGTCAGGATTGCGCATACAGTGCAGCTACGCGCATCCTAGCCATCAATCTACGCTCATGTCACAGACTTTGAGGGGAGCTGGCATGAAAAGGCAGCTTAACAGCTTTCCATTTATTTTGGAATAAGCCTGGAGGGAAGTAGCTCCTTAAGGAGACCTCAGATGGAGCCATACTCAACGACACAATTTTGCGCCTTCTTATATCGATTTCACAGTATTCTGCAGCGAATAGAATATGCTAACGAACAAACCCATGAGCGCTTTCTCTATTAATTCCTAGTTGAACACAGCTAGTGTAGCAGAAAATTTGAATAGGAACTTCGCCCGAACCAGGAGAACTTGGATGCAGATCGTTAGCCATGTCTCAAATTAGATACATTATCATCACCTCCGTAGAATAAAACACGATGGACTAATACTAAAATCAGGGTCTTCTAGGAAAACTAGGTTACCAGTAGCATGGCTTGCTGCAGCTCTGCTGAGCGCGGGGAGCTGATGTCCTACACTGAAAGACGAATGGCAGAACCCATGGACGGTCTTGGCGTCGAGAATGATTGGGAGCACTGTTAATACGTACAAACAAAACCTTTTAAATGCATAAACTTTACAGAAGGTGATACATGGAGGTTAACACAAATCTGAACTACTCAATGGAGAGTAGGCAAGTTCACCGCTGTGCCATACAGGGGCTGGAGTCGTCTCTAGAGGTACCCTTCCACTCACAGGTACCTGCCCCAAGCATTTTTGTCTAGAAAAGTGCAACTAGTGAGTGGAATGCCCGCCCAATTATATCAGTATTTATGTCGGCCCAGGAGCACGGCTCGAGGCCCAGAGGCTTGCACCAAGTATGCGAACATCGAGATGCAGTTACACCCTGTTTCTTGAGCAGAGAAACAGATCCGCCATTAAATCTACAGTTTATCCTTGCTACAGGCAAAATAAGCTGGCCAAATGCACAAATGGTTGTGACAATACTCAGTTTTTCTCTCGATATGTGCAGCTAGCGATGCCATCAGCTCCCCCTGCTCTGGTTGCCACGTCACGCGCTCGGCGCTACCTCACCGCTTCCTATTACCCCAGTTCATCGTTTATGCTGGTGCAGAATGAATCTTAGAAGGGTCTGTGCCTCCTTTTCTCCCAAACTTTCTATGTTCAGAGTTCAATTGCATCACTTCACGGTGTTCCCCCGTACTTAATGCGGACGTACAACGGTAGAACACTGCCACAATCTCCGTTGTGGGCGTCGATCAGCTAGCTGCATTTTTCTGCGCTAGGGCCATACTTCACTCCGGTCTCTGAAGAAGAGCCCTTATCGGCTGCTAAATCCAGAACCGGTTCTTGTGACTTCTATACGTTATACGCGTGAACGAAGTATTGCAGTCTACACAGTTCAGAGGAGATTTTCACTTTGACTTCACCCCATTCGCATCGAGACTTTTGTCTTTTTCCATAAACTGAAGGCTTGGGTGGCATATTTTCGCATATTTATGCACTGTGCAACGCCGTAATCTTATGCCCAGCGCGATGAGGAACTTCAAGGGACTAACGGTTCTGGCCACCATGGTCGCAGCCCTTTCAAACCAGAAAAGGACAGAAGCATGGGTGGTTCCGAACCGTCATGATGGAAACGGAGATCAATCATTCAATGCCCAATCCTTGGTTGAAACCCAATGGGGATCAACTTATACGCATGTAAACGGGGTGATGAGTACTGACGGTTCTATGGTTTATATATTTGAAACTCTAGCGGGCGAGGAAAAGGCTTTTGAAGTTGAGCTTGGATCCCAAAACAAATGCGCTGCTTTGGGCACTGTTGTGGACATCGAGAAGTCGGTGGTGACTGACAAGTATTCCAACGTTTCCAGCGCAGATATGTGCCAGGAGCTGTGCACTCAGACAAGGACATGCGTCGCTGCAGCTTTCGATCAGGAAAACTCAACATGCAGTATGCTGAGTCGCGTTCAAGGGCTCACGAAAGGCTTGTCGACACTGGTTGTGCCGTCTTGCAACTCAGACTGCTTTCAGACTGGCTGGAGGATTAAGGGGGAGGGGAACCTGCTGGGAACTACCCCGAATGCGCATATCTGCCAGGCAATGTGTGAGGGAACCCCGGATTGCGAAGCCTTCACATGGTGGAATTCAAATAATCAATGTTTCTCTTACACGCATTTTGATATTACGCATGGCGGGCGTGACGCCCTCAGCGGGCTCAGGGATAGCTGCTCGAGGACCATCAAAGCAGCTGATTATGCAGGATCTTGCACGCAAGTAGATCTTACCGGCAGAGGGTACAATTTTCAAGTTCAGAGCCACATTCCCACTCTAGATGCCTGCAAAATTTCCTGTCTTACTAACCGCAGATGCAATTATTTTACCTACAATCAGAATGATAAAAAGTGCTACCTCAAAGAAGAAAACGGAACAATTGCTAGTGGGAAGCGCGGTGACTTGACTGGGCCGAAGTTATGTGACACGGGCTGCTTCCTAAAGGACATTGAATACCGAGTGGATAGAGTTGCCACAACGAGTGCAGCCACCGTTGCTGATTGTCACTACGAATGCACAATGCATTCGAAGTGCGTCAGGTGGACCTATCAAACGAGTAATAAAGGATGCTATCTCTTTGGGGAGATGAAAACTGCTGTGGGTCAACGTGCGACAGGCTTTTGGAGTGGTTTCAAGGCTGGCTGTGGAACCGACCCGCTCTACCTCTTGGATGCTCCAAGTTGTTCACGAATGGCAGTCAAATACAACACAGTGCCGAATAAAATCGTTGTCGCAAGCAGTCCCTCTGCATGCCAACTTGTATGCCGTAACGATAGAAATTGTAGTACGTTTGTATTCAATACGGCGGTGGCGAAGGGTTGCCAGATATACTACGCGACCGTTGATTCCCAAAAAAGGAGCCACCCATTTTTCTTAGCAGGACCACCAAAATGTTAATGACAGAAGGACAGCTACGAGTGCTGTGGAATTGTCTTTCCGGACGTCACCAAAAGAATCAGTCCAGCCGCCGAGTGTCAACTGAGAGGGCAGCCACCCACGACAATAGCATCTCGAATTTCGGAAACAAGCATGCGTCTCCGCAGGAGCAAGTATTTTGGGGGGTCAACACGGAGCCTGCACGATGCAGACGATGGTATGACCACCTGGGCGCTTCCACTTTGTCCACCAATCATAAGAAAGTTGTGCGTAGTGCCGTTCGGCTAAGGAGGGGATGTGCAGGGGGAGAAGCGGGTATCTGGCCCTTTACAATGCAACGCTGAGGCTTCATGCTCCCAGAGGAACGCGATGTTCGATAACGGCGACAACACAGTGGATTGGCAATACGTGAACCTGCAGAGCTGTGCCAGGAGGGGCGTGCAAAAGGCGTCCGGTGCAAGTTTCGTGCATCATAGGTGACGTAGTGCATTCTCGAGACAAATATTCACGGGACATTCAATTTGAGTTACGACCCTCACTGAGTGAATTTCAAGGAATTGGAGGTGCGAACCGTCTCCTCCAAAATTGCGTACCGAAAGGAAATGGACTGCACGTTGGGAACACTTTTTATCTCGCTTAGGAATCTAAAGAGTGATAGGCATGTGTCTAAAGAAAACCTCAGTGACGCCTGTCAATGTTGCACAACACTGGAAGAGCTTGCTTGATGAAGGTAATTTCGGGGTTTGCCAATACAGAAGAAGCCATTCATGTCACAGTAATTATTTTTCCTCTCGCCTACCCCAGGTACTTGCATGAAGGAATTACCTGCAACGGTTGGTCGCTTAGGATGATCACCTGCGTTCCTACAAAGGTGAAACGCTAGCTTGCATGCGAGCTACAGGACAGCTGCACTTTTCTCATCCCCTAAGAATCTCGGTTGGCGCTAGGTAACCTTGGATATAATGATAGCTTCAGAGACGAGCAATGCCGTGTCCAATATAAACCAGTGGTTGAGCAAGTAGACACGGCAGATGGCAATCCTACTGCATGAGTTCGAGAACATCCCTATTTTCAAGCAGATTGAATCGAACGTGCTTCATTGCGCAAGATAGTAGTTTTACTTCTCTCTAGCTTAATTGGCAAGGAGACTGCTTCAGATTTGTACTACGGGGCAGGTGCCACAAATGGCTGTGATAAGGCGAGCTCGGGCGGTTCTGATGATCAGCAATTCTCTCTAGAAGGGTGCTCCAGTACCGGATTTACCTTAGGCTAGTATGGGAAAGGACTGTGGCATTCAAGGCCTTATAGTAGAGGTCACTAGTCTCAGCTGTACCTATCACTGCTGCACTGGTCCCGTCCTAGACTTTGGGGGATCCCTTGTGGAGTTACACAACATGTGACGCAAGGGAACGTTCAAGACTGGGCGCAAAACTGGCTGCGTCACGATGCAGTGCCTTTAACGATAATTGGAAGATTTCGTACGAATTTAGAGCATGCTCCCCCGTAGCACAAGTTTGTATCTGCGTTGTGCACGGAGCAGGGTCCGCCACATAGGATTTTGAGATCCACGTTATGCTGTTTTCTAGACTCATCCATTACAGCCTCAAAGCTTGTAAGCCTTCTTTTCAAGACAACATGGGCGGTTTGTTGGCTCATTTGCCCCTCTCCTGTGGAATACAAGCCATACACGTAAGTGTTCGAATTACTTTATCGCGATTCGCCCGGGCTGCAGGAAGGGGCTTTTTCCAGTACATCAGGACCCAGCAACGCTCGTGAAGGGGTGCTGCACAGCGTGCAGTTGTGAAACTGGAACTAAATTTCGGCTGTCTACATGAGTTGCCTTTCCGAAGAGAAAGACTTTCCCTGGCGTGTCTATCCATCCTATAAGAGCATCCCTTCGCTCACAAGCAAGTGATAAAGGCTCAAAGTAGCATCTTTTATGCAAGCTTGTGCAGAAACATTCTATTTAGGATGCTGAAAAGCTTAAGGTACTGTGAATCAGCATATGTTGATAACGTTGAGAAATCCACACTTCCACCACAGCGTACAGTGCGCGCTCGTACATTTCGATTTTGCTGTAGGCAGAATGAATGTGTTTCTTTATTCTCCCCGCATGCAGTGTAGAAGAATGCTCCCCAGAGGATGAATTATCTGATTGGATCGCATGCGTATCTCTACTAAGGTCACACAAACCGGCAGAGAGCTCAACTAATGTTAGCGGCAGCGGGTTCCACCCAAACCCTAGGATATACTGTTTCTCTCGAGTTAATTTTCGACCCTACACCGACCAGCATGCACGATGGGTGCGCTGCTTGCAGGGAACTGTCTTTGATCTCCATGTATATGTGTGCAAAATCCTGTGTTGCTACCATGCCCGCCTACTTTCTGAAAGATTGTGTACACCCAGCGGGCAAGCCACTTTCTTCTGCCCTCAAAGCTCGGGGCAACACTATCTTTGTTAACAAGTGGCACTTGCTACCAAAGCCGCCCACCGCATGTGCGTTCAGAGCATACATATCTGTCAGTTGCGTAGCCTTCTTTAGAATCTTCTACTGTGGAACGGCTGGGCGAACCTGGAGGCTCCGCTCACTCGATAAGACAGTCTAGGCTCCGCCTGGTCGAAGAGCACCTCCTACTATAGCAGTACAGAACAGTCCACGTCTCGAGAAATTGGCAAGGGCAAGGCTACCTCAGGGCTTGTAAAGCGACGTCACCCAGCAACGATATCTCCCTCCATATGCATCAGTCAGCCTGGTCCTGATTCAAAATTAGCTCTACAGCCTTGGAAGCAGAGTCTTAAGATATGAGCTGCTAGGCCCTGTCGATGAGGCCTTCGGATGCTTGGCAACTCTACAACATGAATGACACTTTCTGCCAAACTTTCCAGTCCACCCACCCATCTTTGCCATGTGTTGTTCTGTCCGACAGTTTTTTCTTGATTGCTCCACTTGAGCAGCGGGGGCCGCCCTCACTGAGCTACTGTTGTTTTTAGAAATGGCAGCAGATGTCACAGTGCGTCTACCAGCACTGGTGCATGCATCAAGGATAAAGTACTGTCTCATTCAGGGTGGAAAATACTCAGAACACAAAAAACAGTCTCATAACCAGGCAGCCCACGTCTCGCAGCCGATTTCGTTCTCTTCAGATGTTCCGAAGCATACAGTACTGCCGTGATCACACGTGGATCCAACTTTATCAGGTACCTCGCCGTGTGTCTAGCGTGTGCAGAGTCTACAACACGTAGTGCTAAAGGGTATACACGACAAACTATGAAGAACGTTTCCGCCTTGCTAAATAGCCACAGCCTCTGCATGCAAGCGTCAACCGCGCTCAATTGTCATTTACAACAGTTCGGGGATTCAACTTAGAACCGCGCTCGGTTGGGATGCCCCATGCTTCCCCGGAGCTCTACATGATCGTATTTAAAGCGCGTCGCCTGAAACACCATTAAACAAGTTTGCCAACACAAGTAGCCTACCAGGTTCCGTCTAGGCGCAACCGAATCTACTGCCTCCCATTTCGGCAGACTCATTAGGCTCAGTGGCAAGTCATTGTCTGGGCTTACGGCTATTGTATAAGGCGCATCACCCACACGAATATTTGAGCTACTTTCAAAGGAGTGCTTACGTTTAACACGAGAATCGAGGTTGTAGAGGAGCTAGCTAACAAGTTATCCGTATTTGCAAAGTAGTGGACTTCTCGTGAATCTCAGATAACCAGAAAGTTCTTTGCTCAGATAATCAACGTAGCATTACTAAGAAGGTTGACCACATTTAATTTTCGCTTTGTATACATGTTGGCGTGTACATGATGCACGATGGAGGCTTCAGCAGCAAGTAGCCTATCTGGGGGCCCATGCCCACTAAAGTGTGTATACGAGGTGTGTAAGGTGAGCGAAATATGGACCGTAGTACAACTAATAGCGTCTACTGCACACGCTGACCCAGAAAAGTATAAGGCGAAAACTGCCATGAGGAGGCTTCAATCAATTTCTGATGCATTCAAACATCGTCCTGAAGCTCCTGAAGATACCCAATGGGTGTTTTGGCTTGCACAAATGTAGCTGATGAAAATGCATTCTAGGAGCATGGTGCTTATGGTGAGCTCGAGTCAATCGCTGCAAGCAGATGGCCCACGAAAGCAACCCACTTCGCATTTGCTGGGCACTCTTTTAATGCTCTGAAGTGTGTTCCCGATTCTTAAGAGCTATGCAACAAGCACGCACAAGGAAAACACCATGCAAACAACTCCTACTGTGCAGAGTGTTCAGCAGCAGACCCGATTGCCGAGCCAGGTGCCTTCGCAAGGCAAGGTCGCCCGATAGAACTGCGTGTTACTTAAGACGTTGCTGTGGGTCTGGGCGCACTAATGTGTACCAGAGGGGAGAATTCTTGGCTAGCCGCGTGCAGCTAGCCACGGAGGGGAGGCTGAGGAGGCATTAGCTAAGTGTAGCTGAGTACCTCTTGGGGAAGGATTGAGGACGCAGGCAACTGAGTCGGCCCTCATTTGTGCAGGTTGTTCCTTAAGAGGCGGCAACCGAAAGACACAGGAGCCTGGGTCTCTTCCCTGCGGCTGCCCCTGCCAAGGAGACGCATCGAAGGGCCCCTCGCTCCCCCTTCATGCCGCTCTAGCGGGTGATGAGGGGGCCCCTGTTCGTCCCTTAGCACTGCGCGAAAGCGGTTCCATCCAGGTTGACGCCACCCCAACCACCTTCTAATGTTTTCGCGTTCTGAAATCAGTAAGGCTGTGGTGGGCAGCTACTGAACCGTCGCCGACCCCGAAGATTTGGGTTGTTGCCAAACTGGCCAAACACTCGGCTGGCCGCTTCCTAGGGGTGAAAAGCTACAAAGTGACAAAAAGCTAGCTATAGGTACTACGAGTCTTGCCAGCCAAGGCAAGACAGGGAAGGAGTTCATTAGAGAAGACCTTTGCTAATTTGGCGGGGGGCAGCCCGTGGTGCGACTTGCCGCTAGCTGGCCGTCCTGCTCAAACATGCGGGCCTACTGTGGAGGCGTTTCTGTGCCTGTCTGCACGAAAGCCTCCTTCTCGTGTTTGTGATTGGTGCGAAGAAGCCGTGCTTGCTTGCCGCCGAGGCAAAAGGCTCACGTTGCTGCGGTAGCAGGGAAAACACCCCCGCTAGCAGCAGCAGCATGAGTGGCAGCAGAGAAGACACCTCCGCTAGCAGCAGCAGCATGAGTGGCAGCAGAGAAGACGCCTCCGCTAGCAGCAGCAGCATGAGTGGCAGCAGAGAAGGCACCTCCGCTAGCAGCAGCAGCATGAGTGGCAGCAGAGAAGACACCTCCGCTAGCAGCAGCAGCATGAGCGGCAGCAGAGAAGACACCTCCGCTAGCAGCAGCAGCATGAGTGGCAGCAGAGCTTTGTAGGTGACCCTCGATGTACTATTTTCCAGCAGGAAATTTGGGGAGCCGTCAGTTTCTGTCATTTGGAGAGGGCAGAGTGAAGCTCTCCGCAGTCAACACCCTTGCCGAAAGCCAGCTTTAGCCCATCCCAGCCTGCGGCAGCTGAGGGCTGTGTTGTGTGCTCAAGCTAAGAGGCTGCAGCACAGCAGCACGGGGAGATTTCTTTGCCTGAAGGCCACCCAGCGTCTGCTGCACACCCTACAAGGGGCAAGCAAACAAACTCTGCAACACAGCGCTACATCCTAAACCGCAATCAGCACGTTCCTAGGTGAAGCGTGCTGCGTACGTGGGCAGGGAAGAGCGAGAGATGCCAGTCCACTTCCCACCCTTTTCCCGCCGCAGCGCACAGCCTCTCCTCTGTCTACGCTTGTCAGGGAGCGCAAGCGCTTTCAGTCGAGGCTCATCAACACTCTCTAGGCTGCACCACACTGCACTCCGAATTTCAGCATACCTGCGCAAGGGCCATGTAGTGAGCTGCCAGCTCCTGCTCCTCCCGAGAGGCCGCCTGCGTCTCCTCTTCTGCCGTTCAGAGCTCGCGATGCAGCCTGTGCTGCCGCTGCTGCAGTAAATGTGCTGCTTCCCTTCGGGTGCTCTCGTGTGCCTCCTGTAGCTGCTTGTACGCTGCAGCAGCCCGCTTCGCTGCAGCTGCTAAAACGCCGTCGTCCTTATCTTGTGCTTGCCGCTGCTGCGCTTGCTGCTGCGCTTGCTGCTGCAGCTGCTGCTGCGCTGTATTCGCTGCAGAATTAGCGGTTCCAGATGCTCCTAGGCGCGTTGCCTCGCGTCACAGAGCGCCTCAACCTTGCGAAGCGCATCCTGTTGTGCTTTGCTGGCCTCTGCTGCCGCTGCTGCCGTTTGTCGCTGCAGTTGCTGCAGCTGCTGCAGCTGCTTCTCGTAGTGTTCCCTGACTTCTGCCGCAAGGGCAACCCTCAGTTGCTGCTGCTGCTGCTGAGCCTCTGCAGCGGCAATTTCCAGTGTGCAGTTTTCCAGCTGCTGCTGCTGTAGGAACTGGCGCAGAATCTCCTGCCGCTCCCCTCCTCCTGCTGCTTGCTTTTTGCAACAAGACATCGATTGGCTTGCTTCAGCGCACGCAGCTCCTCCAGCTGCTGCTGCACTTGCTGCTGCACTTGCTGCTGCACTTGCTGCTGCACTTGCTGCTGCACTTGCTGCTGCACTTGCTGCTGCACTTGCTGCTGGTGCTCCTCGCTGCTGCGCCGGTGCGCCGTCTCTAGCTGCTTGACCTGTACATACAGCAGACACAGACGCACACATTTTCCAAGAAAAACAGCTCAGACAGCGTCGAGCCGATACTGCTAGGAGAAGGTAGAAGAAAGCAGTGCCCTTCTCACACAAGGCACCATGAGGTCGTTAACCGTTCGCATGTATTCGACTGCAGCATGCAGGACGGAGGGAGAGGGTCCAAGCTGGTTCCTCCTTCCATGAAGTCTTCAGAAAACTGCACGCTGCCTTCGCAGCAGCCTCTCGTTTAGAAAGCTATACACACGTGTGCCGCCAACTGTAACTGATAAAGCCGTAGATGCAGGTATACGCATACAGATGCTTCCATAGATGCATGCACAGCCACAGCTTTCTGGAAGGCGGTCGAAGCAAAAACGGCTCAAGAACCCAGTCGAATGCACGACATAGTCACGCAATCCATATACGTAAAAAGCCGAGACGAAGACAATGCACGAAAGCCCCCCCCCAAAAAAACGTCTAAGCAGAGCAGTTCTCCTAGCGGCTGCACAGCATCATACACGCGGTCCGATGCGCGCAAGCGCAGCCATCATCAAATGCCGTGAGGTGCAGCTGCACTGGGCTGCTTCTGACAGATGCGTTATTAGGAGAAGCACTCGAACGATATATATTTGGTCTGGGCAGAGAGAGAACTGCATTCTACGAGCAAAGCAGCGCATGCTGTGCCCCTCTCCTCCCTCCTCCCACCCCACCTCGCCCCGAAGCAACGTAAACTTCAGGAGTGGTGCTCTTAGGAGGCTTGTGTGTGTTACAGCTAAAGGCCACAATTCGGCAGTAAGGGCAAATATCAAAAGGCATCTTGCCTGCTCAGAGAGATCCTACGGCTTCTTGTTGAGGCTGCGACTGCGCTCGTTCAGCTCCTTGGTGCAGTCTGCGAGTTCTTTGTTTTCCCAAGGCACGAGCCGCCGAAGAAAACAGCCCAGACTGCACATGAGGATCGTTTGGAAGGAGCCAGGAAATACCTAGCGAGACGGCTTGCAGTGCTACAAAGGCTTTTCTAATCACCTATTTGAGCTTGTGATTGGTGTTCATGAGCTGCTTGTGTACGTCCACTGCCTCAGTTTTGTGCGCTGCCGCAGCTTGCCGAGTTTGCTTGAGCTCCTTCTCTGCAGCGCCTTGTCGCTATTACGCTGCTGCAGTCTGCGGAATCGGGCTCCATGCTGCGCTGCTGCATCAGCAACTGCGGCGTGTTGCCTCGACAGGCGCTGCTGGAGGGTCTGGAGGTGCTCTTGCTGTGTCTCAGTTGCTGCTGAAGCGCCGCCTTCTCCTGAGGCGTCATCTGTAGCTTTTCTATTAAGGTCGTGTTTTCAGCCAGCAGTTCCATGCGCTGCCCATAGCTAGCTCACCATGTGCCTTGATCAGTTGACTGTTTCTGTCCTCCAAGGCTTCAGCAAGCGCCTTAAGGCGCTCATTCTCTGACTTCAGCCGCTGCAAGTGGGAGCGAAAATTAGCGTCGCCCTTCGTTCCCAGCTCGCATCCGCCCGAGAAAGCTTGAACGGTGCAAGTCTTCGCAACTAGGGAAGAAGGACCATAGATTGGCATGCCAGCGGCAATGTCTGTACAGCGCAAGCCTCAGGGAGACGCGAGAGCCTACCCTCCCACGAGACAAGCAGTGCGCAACAGATCGCGAGAGTGCAGCACTACAAAAGGCACAGGCCACTCTCTGGTAGACAGACCAGCAAGGCTGCGCGTGTGCACGTCGGGAAAATTTCAGCGTGCCGTCGTGTGCAGGCCGACAAAGCACCAATAGACTGTTTCACACTAAGATGACGGAGAAAACATGTACTCGGAACACGAGGAAGTAGAACTTAGGGAAACTAAAGGGAAGAATCTCAAAAGGCGCCCACCAGTCACGACCGCTGAGACACTCATGCTGACGGCAATGAGTCTAGAAACTGGAGATAAAAGCTCCTTTCGGCCACTAAGCAGTAGAAACAGATTCTATTAGCCGTGTGTCCAGAGAAGGGGCGCTCGAATCACTGAATTATCCGAATAATAGCGGGGTTCACACCCCTCGGCTGCTGAGGCTGCTATGGACCGAGCAGGTGTATGACCACTGCAACAAGCAGTGTATTCAATAGCACCACTCGCTGTCTACGTGTCGGTGCTATTTATTGCCTTAAATCGAGACGCGCTTATTTGTTAAAAAAAAGTGTTTATGTATTGGCCTTTCGCAGTAGTGCCTTACCCGATGGTCTCCCTGACCACTGTGCAGATTCCCCCGCAGGGGGCCCCTCAGGGGCCCCCTGCGGGGGAATCTGCACGACTGCAGAGGGTTTCAAGACAGTAACGCGCCTCATACACTGAAGAAGCCTTTTCCACATTGCCGAAGGCGTTCTTCGTGTTACGCTAGGACCTTGAACACTTACCCTTCAAGAGCAGCACCTAGGAAAAGCAAGCCTTTTCCCGACACGGTCTTGCACTGCGTGATATTTTGAGCGCTCTACGTCTACCATCGAAGGCTAAGTGCCCCCTTTCTGCAATACAGATGTGGTCCCTGCGCGTGTATCCCCTCCTACTTCGTTACTTATTTCTTGGAGTAGCGGGATGCAGCGTTTAGGGTCGGAAAACATCCTGGCTGTGAGTTTCATGCATTAGCTAGGGGCCATAAGGGGATCCCTAGCGCCTTCTTTCGAGCTGTATCATTACGCCTTCTACCTGGAGGTACAGCGGAGCAGCAGCAGCAGCAGCTCCCAGAATGATGGGAGATCACGCGCAACAGCTGCAGGCGTTCCCCCAGAGCACTTGCGTTAGAGTAGAGTTTTTAGGAGCCAAAAGAGGTAGGGGTCTCGTGGCTTCAGAGTCGATTGGCACGGCGGAGGTAAGCGGTAATGCGAAGCAGCTAGCCATGGGTGTGGGCTGGTAGCTACGACCCTCTGCGACTAGCTATGTGGCTTTTAAGACCCCTTACGAGCTTCTAAGGCATGCATACAAGCTTCCGTCCAGCAGTGCTACAGCCTGCCGCACTGGATAAGAGGCTTCTGGAGCTAGAACGGCAGTTCAGGAGATAGCCCGTGGCTTGCAGTCTGTGCTCAGCTAGCGTTTTCTCGAAGGCAGCTTGTGATCCGCGCAGTGCAACGAATAATACGGCTGGCAGCCTTCTTCCAGAGAGCAGTGCGCTGAGCAGTTGACTCCATGGCTTTTGGAGGTTTCTCGAGGTGTCTGCGACTATGCCTCCGCAACACAGGTCATCTACACTGAGGATAGCCCACTGCTCGTTGTGCAGCACGAGTTTTCCCGGTGAGCAGCGTGGATTCTGCATGCAGTTTGAAACTCGTTGAACAGAATATAGCACTTAGTTGGACTGTCTTGGAGCTGGGGGTTTAATGGGCAAACTGAACTCTTGCCGGATGGTGTAGGGCATTGGAAGGCGCTGCTGAGATGCGTCTGCGCAGGCTCTGCGGCTTGACATGCAGCAACTGCCTCTGCTTTGTAGGCTCCCTTAAGGACGCTATACGTCATATCCTCACCAAGTTCGCTACCAAAAGCCAACACGCAAGCTCTAAACATCTTAAACACGCGAGTCGTGCCGCGCAAAACAGAACGCACAGTCTCCAATTCTTAGGCCGAAAAAAACAGAAAATAAAACGTCGGCTTAGCAACTGCTTCCCGTGCTTTAAAGATGCATCCCTCTGTCCCTTTCTGTCTGTCTCGGTGTGTTTCTGTCTGTGTGTTTCTGTCTCTCTGTTTCTCTCTCTCTCTGTCTCTCTGTCTTTCTCTCTCTCTGTTTCTCTCTCTCTTTCTGTCTTTCTCTCTCTCTGTCTCTCTCTATCCCTCCACGCCTTGCGGTATGCGCCTTTGCGTTCACTGCAGCTCTGGAAACCTTTCCTCTGTCGCGCGTCTGAACACGCTTCCGGATGCCTTTCTCGAAAAGCATGTCTGTTTGATTATTCTTCCTAAAGAGGCGTGTTCCCGGCAGCTTTCGCTAGGTTGCTATGTGCTGTTGTTGCACAAGAAGGAGGGCGGATTTTTTCCAGGAAGGCAGCTGCAGCAGCTGTCAGCCGCGTGGGTGAAGAATGCACAAGGGAAATGTCTTGGCGTTTCACGGCTTTCTTCTTTTCACGTGCTGCGTTGCTTTCAAACGATTTACAGAGGCTGGTGCTTGGGCCAGTAGTGCCTTGTGGGGAGCCTGGATGCGAGGCAGTCTTCTGCTCAGAAGCGTGTCGGCAGGTGTGTTTGCGTTTGCGTTTGTGTTTGTATATTTTAGCTGCACATACAGCTGCACATACAGCCACACATACAGCCACACATACAGCCTCACATACAGCTGCACATACAGCTGCACATACAGCTGCACATACAGCCACACATACAGCTGAACATACAGCTGAACATACAGCTGCACATACAGCTGCACATACAGCCACACATACAGCTGCACATACAGCTGCACATACAGCTGCACATGCAATTCTGAGATAAAGCAGCCTTTTTTTCTTGGCGCAATGCTTCAGAGCGTGTAGGCACGCTCACGTCGAATCCTTTCCCTAGGCTGCACTCGTGTCTCCACAGCGCTCATGCGCCAAGACCTCATGTTTGATCGTTTGCCGCTTGCAGCATGCCCGACGCGACACGCTTCATCGGATGTTGTGCGTTGATGCAAAGGAGTCTCGACACTGGCGCGCCTTCCTGGCTCACGCAAGACGCCACCACGATGGCCTTGTTATGGCAGGTGAGTTTTCAGCTGTACACACACATATATATATATGCATGTATGTAGCTCTCTGTTTCCGACGCAAGCTTCTAAGTCTGAAGCTTGTTCACGTACATCTCTAGACGCCACGGGTAGCGTAGCACCCTCACGAGAGACGCGCTGGTCAAAAGAAGCAGGAGCCACTCTTCGCAGACAGTGCAAGGGAGCAGTAGCATGCCGTCAAAAAGCTGCGAGTATGGCGCTGCAGGCCTCTGCGTAGCACAGGTGTTGTTCGAAGTGCGCTTCAAGGGGCGCTGCCTTCCAGAAATCCTTCAGTCTTTTCTGCAATTCCATTCAGCACCTTGGTAGGACGAACTGGCCCCTCTCTGCGCCACTCGCATTAGTTGCCCTCTAACTTCACACACGTAGCCGTGTGTGTTTTTATGTGTGTGTTTGTGTGTGTATTTGTGTATTTGTGTGTTTGTGTATTTGTGTGTGTTTTTGTGTGTATTTGTGTGTGTATTTGTGTTTTTGTGTGTTTGTGCATTTGTGTGTGTATCTGTGTGTGTTTTTGTGTGTATTTGTGTGTGTATTTGTGTGTGTATTTGTGTGTGTATTTGTGTGTGTATTTGTGTGTGTGTATTTGTGTGTTTTCGTGTGTGTTTTTGTGTGTGTTTTTGTGTGTATTTGTGTGTGTTTTTGTGTGTGTTTTTGAGTGTGTATTTGTGTGTTTGTGTATTTGTGTGTGTGTGTTTGTGCATTTGTGTGTGTTTGTGCTTCTCTATGTGTGTTTTTGTGTGTGTTTTTGTGTGCGTCTGTGCTTCTCTGTGCGTGTGTTTTTGTGTGTGTGTGCTTCTCTGTGTGTGTCTGTTGTTGCTTATCACCTGCGGATTGTGGCTTTGTTTTTTTTCTGTTTCTGCATTCTTGTGCTGCTGCCTGCACACGATGCATCCCCGCTGCTTCACGCGTCTCTGCCCCCGCCTTCCGCAGCAGTGCCTCTTCGCAAGAAAGTCTTTGCATGTAGGTGCAGGGGCTGATGCGCAGAAGCTTTTGAGGCTGAGGTTGGTCTTTCTGGAAATGTTGTTTGCAGGGAGTCTCTCGCTCCTACCATCGCTTCCACGGGTGAGGCTCCCAAGGACGGCAGGAGGCATCTTCACACAGACACAGCAGAGGGTCGAGTTGCCCTCCTTCAAGAGTCTCTCGCCCTCCTGAAGGAAGCTCTCTATCCGTTTGTGCAGCCGACTCCACTTGAGAATCCCCCTGATATTCTAAGCACAGAAAAAGCCAAAAAAGACGCGTCCTTTGCACGCTTGTTCGAGCTGAACTTTTATTCGCACTTGATGGTCAGGACGCACCCACACCCGCATTCTTGTTTTATCGCCCCCCTGCGTTTTTTGCATGTTGCCATTCGCGTCGCGCACTATAAGGGGCCTTTTCGATGATGATAGGTACAGCGTCTGCTGTCGTCGCTGCTCTCTGTGGGTGCCTTGGGTGCCGTTGCCAGTATGCATTTGCATTGTGCGTTTGGTGTATGTGTGTATATGTATGTGTGTGTGTATGTGTATATGTATGTGTGCATATGTATGCATGTGTGCATGTGTATATGTATGTGTATGTATGTGTGCATATGTACGTATGTGTGTATATATGTATGTGTGCACATGTATGTATGTGTGTATCTCTGTATATATGTATGTGTGCAGATGTATGTATGTGTGTATGTGTATATGTATGTATATGTGTATGTATGTATGTGTGCACATGTATGTATGTGTGTATCTCTGTATATATGAATATGTGCATATGTATGCATGCCTGTCTGTCTCGCGTCAACAGGGGTGTTTTGCTCTTGTCTGCTTGGATGTGGAGTATGTACACCCCCTCAATCGCCGACTCGAGGCTTTTTATAGAAATGTTTTAGGAACAGCGAGTTCGCCTCTGGACAGCTTTTGGGGGCTTCAGCCTGACGCGCCTCAGTCGAGTGTCTCGTCAGAGGAGCGTTTGGAGAAGAAGGCGCAAGAGGCTGCCGAGGCTGACGCGGTAGAAGTCTTGAAAGGGGTGAGTCTCTGGTCAGGGGGAGTCTTGGGGTGGCGCGTCTGAGAGCTCGGAGGAAAGAAGCCACTCCCTGCTGTAAGCTTCGTGCTGCCTGATGGATGTGCCGGCTGTGTGGACAGCTGCTGCGGGATGTGTATGTTGTCACGCGGTGGAACGAGGAAGAGACACTCGACGCATTCGAGGCAGGAGTCTCGCAAGGGTCAGACGCCTTGCGGGAAGACTTTCGCGGCGCTCCCCTGCTCCCCTTCATTGGTGCGGGATTGTTCGCTTTCGGCTCGCTCACGAATCACAGCTGCTGGCCGAATGCAGAGGCGGATTTCCCCCTGCCCAAGCCTTCTCTGGAGGTAGGGGAGGGGAGGCGCGTTCAAGGGCTGCCGTGTTTAGATGCGCCTCGTCGGCGTAGAGGCTTCCCTGCATCCGTGGATTCCGAATTCTGAGTGGCTTCTGCGTTTCTTGCAGGTGCGTGCCTTGCGCCCCATCGCGGAAGGCGAGGAAGTGGTGATTTCGTACATCGACGAAAGCCTCTCCCTGCACGAACGCCAGAAGATCCTGCAGACAGTAAGTGTCTAGAGGTCTTTGCAAGGTGCAGCCTCCTACTACTCCTGGGTTGCTTCTCTGCGAGGCAGCAGCCTTCAGCAGCTTCGTCAGAGGTCGTTCGGAGCTTCAAAGTGGCCTCCTCACGAGGAGGAAGGGGGGAGAGCAAACGAGGCGGCGCACGTTCGACTCGGGCGAGAAGGGAGAGGCATTCGCTTTGTGTCTGGCTATTGCAGAATTACGGCTTTTCATGCACCTGTCCGCGATGCGTCGTGGAGGTGCGCATGCAAGCAGCCCCTCACTCCGATCTCCACTGGACCGCTTTCTCCATCTTCCTGCGCTTTATTTTTACGTGTCGTTTAGCGGCCTTTATATTTAGGTGCTATCGCGCGCGCGTTGCGCCGTGTCACGCAGGCAACTGAGGCGCTGCTGGTACTCATGAAGGCTCCCGAATGTGCAGATGGAGCCCAGCTGGAAGTAAGCGGCCGTGCGCTGGTTGTTGCTGTCATAGGGGGTTGCGCTTAGAATGCTTGCATCTCGAACTGTTATTGCTGCCTGCCATGCGCTGCTGCCTTTTTGCGCCTTAGGATCTCCTTGCCCGCCGAACTGGCATCCCCGTGGGAGTGGTCAGCGAAATAAGGGCGTGGGTGGGGAGGCGCTGCAGCACGTGAACCGTCGAAAGTTTTTTCAGACTTTGAACTGCTTTGCCGCATGCGCATCCAGGCTGCACTGTGCGCTTGGCGCTAAAGAAAACGCACCGCGCGATCCAGGGTGAAATGGCGAAAAACGTCTTTTGCTTTTTACACGTGTTTACGTGTGTCCCTACCGCCGACCAGCTTTCCTTTAGGTGCCTCAGGAGCAAGTCGCATGTCGCATGTCGATACACCCCCGACGTTATATGCATGCAGGGCCTGCTATACAGCCAGGGTTTTAGTTTGCGCGTTCTAGGAGGCAGGCGCGTGCAGCTTTCTTATGGCTGGAGAAAGCCACGCAAGCCTTGTCTTTGAGTTCTACGCGAGATGCAGCGCACTGCCCCTTGAAGACCTCCTTCCACGCAGAGAAGGCTTGGTAGAAGAGGTTCAATCCTGCATTGCCAGCTCCGCATGCAGCTATTAGAGAACCTGTAGCAAGAGTAGCAACCGGGCTGAGGTGCACGTCTTTTCCTGAATATACTGCGAGGCGTGAAGCGCCGCTGCGCGCAAGTGAACGCAAGCAGCAGAGGCTGCGCGGAGGGAGAGGTTCTGTGAAGCTGCAGGCACTACTGCTCCTGCTACCGTTATCTCCACTATGTCTGTAGAGGCACTCTTTACTTCAACAACAGCCTCTATGAGGCCAGCTGCAGGCACTACTGCTCCTGCTACCGTTATCTCCACTATGTCTGTAGAGGCACTCTTTACTTCAACAACAGCCTCTATGAGGCCAGCTGCAGGCACTACCGTTCCTGCTACCGTTATCTCCACTATGTCTGTAGAGGCACTCTTTATTTCAACAACAGCCTCTATGAGGCCAGCTGCAGGCACTACCGTTCCTGCTACCGTTATCTCCACTATGTCTGTAGAGGCACTCTTTATTTCAACAACAGCCTCTATGAGGCCAGCTGCAGGCACTACTGCTCCTGCTACCGTTATCTCCACTATGTCTGTAGAGGCACTCTTTACTTCAACAACAGCCTCTATGAGGCCATATGGCAGGGGCATTCAACGACTGCCTGGGTCCGCTGCTCCACCCCTTGCACCTCAAAAACAGCAAAAAACACCTCGGCCTGACGCGGTGTTACGAAAACGCTCTTTTCTCTGAAAGGGCAGGAGGAATCACACGGCCTGAGCGAGCGACAGCTTCTGAAGGATCTCAAAAGAAAGAAAAAAAATCGCCAACAACTTTTCAAAATACGCAACGGGTGAGGAAGGCACACAAAGGAGGCCAAAATGGACCGAAGCGGGGAAGGACGAGTCATAAGACACATTCATATGTATAAATACACATATACATATAAATATATACACGTACATATATATTATGCATATATATGTATATGCATGCAGAGAGAGAACCCAGAAATACTGACTGGTGAGGAGCATGGGTGGCGTGCATAAATATACATATGTGCAGCTTCCCCGCACTCCCTCCCTTTTCCGTCCGATACACTCCACCTGCCTCAACAGGGAGTTCCCGATTTTATCTGCTGACGACGTGGGCTATCTTATTTTATCTCTGGCTGGTGGTGTTGGTCGTCTTGCTGCGTGCTCTCGAGCAGCTGGTTTGTTGGCAGCAGCTGCTGCGTTTTCTGTGGCAGGTGCTGCTGTCCAACGAGGACGAAGACACCGTCGCTCTTTGGGTGTTTGGGTGTGGTGTTGCCACTGCTTTCGTTGCTGCTGTTGCTGCTGCTGGGAACCTCCTGAGACGTTAAGCGGGGAGACGCCAGCAGCACTGGCGAGGAGACTGGGGAGCTCACAGCAATCCATTCGGCAGTGCTGCTCGCCCGAGAGCCGGCGCTCTCCGCTGTCACTCCTTCCTCTCGTGCTGCAGCTGCTGTTGCATGCAGTGCATGCACTGCATCTCTTGCGAAAAGGCGGGTCGGTGTCAATGAGATGAATCCGTCGCCTCTTGCCTCTGAGAAAGCTGCACTCTGTACACTGGATCCTCCTACGTGGCAAGCGGACTGGAGGTGCCCATTGCGGGGTGGCAAGAGGCCTTTCGCCGCTCTTGTTGTAGTCGTCGCTTCCTCCGGAAATTCAGCCTCTGGCGGTGCTCGTGCAACAGGATCACGCAGACTGTCGTCTGAATTCTTGCTGATGCTGGTAGTAGTGGTAGTGGAGTATGGTCGCAAAATGCCTGCGTCATCTATCTCGCCGGCTACGGCTGATGCACATGACGGAGGAGCTGCTGGAAGAGGCTGCGAGATCGAAGACTCTCCTGTGGAGCTGGGAGACAGGATATTTTCAGCCGAAAGAGGAGGCAGAGACTTTGAGTTCGCTGTGTCTTCTTCGTCTTCGCTACAACCCCAACTAATGTCGCTTTCACTCTCTTCCTTCTTTTCCTGCCGCTGTCTTCCCTCCCACGGCAACACTTCCCTAAGGGGCCACTGTGCGCCAGCTGAACCTCCTGCTGATATCTTCCAATAAGACGCGTCTTCTTCTTCTTCTTCTTCGTCTGCTGCTTTCGCTGCTGCTTTCGCTGCTGCTTCTGCTTCTGCTGCTTCTGCTGCTTTCGCTGCAGCAGCGTCTTCTCCTCCACGTGCTGCTGCTGCAGCTCTCGACGTACTCGGAAGAGCGCCCTCGCCACAACTCCAGTGTTGCAAGTCCAGGCGCTCAGGCGAAGATTTCCTCGCCACGTCACCAACAAAAAGCGACTGCACTTCTCCCCGAGGAGGCGTCAAGAAACCACTTGGCCCTCCACAGCTCTTGTACAGTGCTCCACAGACTCGCCGTTCATTCCGAGGATATCCTGTCTCGCCGTCATCTACTCCCCCAGCTTCTGCCGCAAGCGGAGGAGTCGGAGCTTCCAGCCACTGCTGCCTTCGCCGAAACTCACGGCATTGAACGCCTTCTTCTCTGACTCGCCTGGCTAGCTGCTGCAGCTCTCTCGCGGCAGCAGGAGCAGCCGCTGCAGCCGCTGCTGTGTCTTTGCCGCTTCTTCCCCCGGGCACTCCGCACGCGCCTTCGCATGCAGTAGCGCTGTAAGAAGCCTCTTCTAGGGAGTTCAAAGGGTCAAAAAACACAGAAAAAAAGCAGTCCTCCGGGAAGGCTGCTGCGAGCATAGGACCCCCATCCAAGTCTGCCTTGCAGAAGGAAACGCATCCTGCCAAATCCACGACTCCCGAGTGAAATGCGACGCGCGCCATCGGCACTTTACGACCCCGAATGGGGGTTTGACTGCAGGTGCTGCTGCTGCATGCAGGAGCGCTGAGATTTCCGCAGCTGCTGCAGCCGGACAGGTGACGCTCCTGTTGCAAACGCTGCTGCTGCTGCGACGGGCTGATTCTCTCCGGGAGCACGTGCAGCAGTCGCAGCAGCACATCGCCACAAAGAGCGACGCCAGCGGGAATGTCGAACTTCAAACTTTCGTCCTCCGGACTGTACACTGGCACTTGGCTGGCGCAGCACCAGCAGAGGCCTTGTTGTTGCTGTTGGTATTTTTGTTGCTGTTGGTGGTTTTGTTGCTGTTGGTGGTTTTGTTGCTGCGTCTTCTGTTGCTTCTCATCATGGTAATGAAATGCTGCACCATTCGACGCGGCGAAAGAGCAGGCTTGCTGTTGCAAAGACGAATACACCAACACGCCTTCCAGCCACACTTCGAGCACTGGACGGAAGAGCAGCCGAACGTGCTGGCGTGGCTTCGCGGTTTTCTCGTCCGCATCGTCTGCGAAGTCACTGCCATCTCCTTCAGAAGAGGAGCACAAGGCGCCCCCGTCGAAGGCGTTCGCGAACTCCTCTATGGCAGGGAGGCCAGAGAAGATAATTCTGCGTAGCTGTCTAGGGAGCAGCCGCTGCTGCAGCTGCCTCCTGTGGTTTGCAGCTTGCTCTTCCTCCGTCGAGTGCGCGGGAGCGCGCGAGGCGAAAGGAGAAGGGATTTCCATGAGGCAGTCAAAGAACTCCAAGAAGCGTCTTTGACTGGGCAGGAGGGGAAACGCCTCCGGTTCGAAGCCTAAAGCCATCGCAATTCGACGTACAGCTGCTCGTGTGTCTCGTGCAGCACCTGTCCAAGAGAGGAAGGCTGCAGCGAGGCAGACGGAGCGGCCTAGACTCCTGAAAGATTGCAGCAAAAGTACGTGTTTGTCATCTCCCCGCATCCATCTGCCGGCGCTGACGCAGAGGGACAGACACAGGCGCAAAGGCGGATAGGAGAGGCCGCACAACTCTGCATCTAGGGTGGTGCCAGTCTTGAATTCTGATGCTGGAGGTGAAGCTGCTGCTTCCGGCGATGCTGCTGGTGATGCATTTGGCAGCGGCAGTGGCGCAAAAGATGATGAGACAGCGAGAGATGCGGCGAGCTCTCCCGCCTCGTGTTTAGGCCTCTGATGACGTGGGGGCGTCTGCGTGCGGATACTCCCACCCCGGCTACGCGTGTCAGTTGAGGGAATGCAAGTATTAGCAGTACCAGCGGCAGTTTTAGCATCAGTATTAGCAGTACTAGCAGCAGTTTTAGCAGCAGTATTGGCAGTAGCATGACAGGGCCCGTCTCTGAACGCACTGCTGCGACGGCGCTTATCCGCCATGTCTATGACCAAATAGCTGAACGGGTGTGTGGCGTCCATGTAAGAGGAAATCAAGGCATTGAGAGGAGAGGCGTTTTCTGTTCGATCGCATAAAAAGACGCGATCTGCTATTTCGTAGAGACCTATGGCAAGAAAAACCACACCACACAACGCAAGACAAATTTGGGGGTGAAGGAGTGCGCCTTTGGGGAGACAGACAGGAGGTCGATGACGGCAGCTGCTTGCTTTTGTGTTAGGGGCCTGAAACACTGCACGCCCCCTTCACGCAATCCGAGTGCAGAAAACACTGACTTGGGGGCTTGAAGAGGTGGTGCGCCGACTGTTCGATTTTTTCGGCAACGGAGTGGGCAGCAGAGGCAGCAAGCGCCATCATGAAGCTGCCTAGGGAAGTTTTCGCGCTGCTTTCTAGGGATTTCTGAGGGTGTGGCTCTGAAGACTGCTTCACTCCCTCGCGCTCAAAGGCTCGACTGCTGCCGTCGCAACAACCGGCCGCATTCTGGGCATCTGCTGGGTACTTGCTCTGCTCCTCCCTTGGGAAATCGTCTTCCCACCGCATGGCAGCAAGCCTTTGCTGCAGTTGTTGTAGCTGCTCTGAGAGCGAGCTGCCACAGTTGGCGGGGGCATCGGTGCGAGCCGCTCTTGCCCCTGCGAAATCCGCAGTTGCAGCTTCGACCAAACCATTCAGCGCTCCTTCCTGCGCGCTGCGCTGCGCTCGCTCTTCTTCATCCCCCCGCATTTTAAGCGGAACGGCGAACCGTCCCGTAGCTGCACCGGCGCGAGGCGCACGGTCCAACTAGGTCTGTCTACAGAGAGGTCTCCTCCAGGACTGGCACGGGGGAGTTCGCCACATTCAAGAAAGATCCAAATGAAGCGAAAACCAAAAAACAGCTTCAAAGGGCAGCGACGTTTCCTAACGCGCTGCAGGCCGTGCCCGTCCCGCCTCTTCGTCCAGACTGCAGCTTCTCGGGTGAGCACGACGGGCTAACAGCACACTGCATACCACTGCCTCCTGTGTGTGCTCTTCGGCGAAGTCTCATGATAAAAAGGTTGCAGAATCGCTTGACAGAAAGTCTTCTGGGGCCAATACTGACCACAGTCCTCGCCAGCAGAGGCCACCACACCCACACACTCGCCTAGCCCCGAGTAGCTAAGAACACCCCTCGTGGTAACCCGGCACTCGCTGCGAGCAGACCAGCGTTTAGCACACAAAATCTGCGCAACTCTGAGTACATATATATGTATTTAACAAACAGAAAGTGTCAGTTTCCGACCCAGATGCGGCGCTCCCGCATGCATCTGCTACTGCGGCCGACCGATTGCGGTTGCTCTGCACGGATCGTTCACCAAACTTGAAACCCTCCTGTGTTAACGCTATGAGCTTTGCGTGCTCCGTTGTGTGTGCTGAGCTGCTCTTTTTTTGCAACAAAAGTATACAGTCCGCATCTGCAAGGACCTGTGTCTCTAAAGCACCGTGCAATCAATCCTGGTGGCAGGGCGTGCGTGCGCATGAAGAATGACAGTGCCCCTATCAGTCATACTGGATTTAGAAGCGTCTTCGTACATCGGTCCGCGGCACTAAGCGCATTGAACCCTTTTTCCTTGTTCTTAAGCAGCTTCAATGTAGATCACTGCCAGAAAGGCACTCACGCAAGTCTGAGATCTGGCTTTCTCCTGGAAGCCGAGAGGTTCAAGAAAATTGAAACAGGATAGGTAGCAGACAGCGCATAAGATGCAGGGGATTGTGCAGAGTAACAGATTAGAAAACGGCAAGGAAAATGACCGACTGCTGTTGGGTACCGGGCGTGAACAGTGCAGGCAGATTTCTTGAAAGCACCTGATTGCTGTTGGTTACACTTTTGCTGCAGACTGCGCAGGGCGATAACACATGTTTGAATTCATAGTAGACGAAGCGTTTTGCAATGGACACCTCTGTCAGAGCACAAACCAACTGCCAAACTTGACATCTTTGCAAAACGTGTAATTGAACTACCGAGTTTAGCTTATAAAGGCTCTGTGATTCGTACTCTTGCCTCACCTACTTACAGCTCAGCTATATGTGTAAGACGCAGGCTATTTATATTATCTTTTCAAACAATTCTTAGAACCCTAAATCCCTACCCCGTGCACTTCTATAACTGCTTGCTTGTGGAATAGATAGCAAGATGGGTGGTTCTGCAGGCCATTCAAGTTAGCATTCAACGGGTTTCCTTATTCCCTCACGTATGATAACATATCTAAATGACGGGTAAATACTAGCTCGCGTTTGACTAGAACGGCAATATAGCTATCTCCGTAGCAGTTTCCGGTGTACGGGGGTCCCCAGTGTGGGGGCTGGCCATTCACTGCAAATTAATTTTTCTACTGGGCAAACGAAAATGCGGATAAAGTATCTGTTATGGTTTTTTTCGCTGCAAGGTTTTGTTTTTGCTCATGGGAAGAACCTGTTCGATGGCAAACCCTTTGCGGCATACGGATTTGGTGACTTTGCAACTCAAGCCACAAAGGAATTGCGAACTCATCCAGTTCATGTTTTCAGACATTACAAAAGTGGACGTGCTGGTGGTGGACACTGTCTCAACGACTGTTGTGCCCAGAAGTCGAAACCCTCATGGGCAGCTAATCTACATAAAGTTGGTTGGCATGGTCTTAATCATTTTCGAATGCGATATTCTGAAGCGTGGTTGATCTTCAGGCGTGGAGGAGGTTCTATACTGAATGTTGGAACAAATCCTATGACTACGTCAGTGTCCCTTCGTAGTGAGAGTTTCGAAACAGTCATGAAGCCTCTGCAGAATCATCAACGACGCAAAAAACGTCCCCGTGCACATTTCGTACTCGGTAGGTGATTCACTTTTCCATGCGCCCCGAAAGATCCCCGATCGTGTATTGTGGTTTCTGCTCCGAACATCTTGGAATTAAATGTCATGGTTTAGGTAGAGCGGACGGACGAAGCCCGCATTCATGTTGAAGACAACACGGGCACGTTGGTGGAGAGTCCTACAAAACCAGTTGTCAGACAACCCCTACGGCCAGCTGACCCACTCCAGCAACAGCGAATGTATGACAGCATTTCCCTTCGTCGGCTCCCGTTTGCTGCGATTAACGCATGACGTGTTGCCCTCGCTCGCTCAGGCAAAAAAAGATTATGGAGCATACAGGATTCAGACCTGAAAATGCGGACTTTATGTTTGAGGTGGCATTTCTATCCCGTCACTGTGCTGCTTACACTTTCGGTGTATCGCCTTATTTTTTTGACAGAACGGGAAAGGCGTGGGAGTCGAATTGATGGGCAGCTCTAATCCTGACGGATTACTGGTAGAGGTCCACCATGCTGTGGGCCTCACGAATGTAAGACACGCAGTAACTGTGTAACTCGAGCTGAATACGCACATCGGCATTTGCGACCAAAACTTTATACTGCTCAGGTCGGCGATGCGCCAGTAACGTTCCTCGCCAATCTTGCACAAGATGGAGTGGTCTTCTACAAGTTGGCGGATGGGTATAATGGCTCACAGCGGCTAATAGTCAGTTGTTTTGTTTCAATGAAGCCTGTTGTGTTTCTCAATCTACCTTTTTGAACTTGAAATACACTCTTTCTTCCTGTATGCCCAGGTATACAATGCAGGTGAGAACAGACAGTTCATACACGCAACTTGATCTCTATGCGCATGTTTTTCAAATTGGCATTTCCAACCTTTCCCCCCAGGAAGCTTGCAGGAAGAAGAGCCTGTAGTCTCATTTAAGCAGAAAAATTCCACGCCGGGGGAACACGAAGCCCCGGCCTCACCGCTGGCGAACTCTCTCGATGCAGGCGCCGCCCATCCTACTGCTGAGGCACCTGCACAAACGGCAGTGGCCACTGGGGAGGGCAGTGCACCTAATTTGACGCATTCTGCCTCAAAGTCGCACGAAGAGCCTGAAATGCAGCGGATGCCTCAGTTCCAGAGCGTGTTTCCCCATGGTCTGGACGGCTTAGGCCAAAGCACCTCGGAAGAACATCTACGCGAAATTCTGGGAACAGTCATTGCAGCAGCGCGGCTGCCACCCTCAAGGGCCAAAATGTTCAAGTAAAGACCGTTTTGGGGTGTATGGGCATCTCGAATTCAGGTTCGAGACGATCGACGCACACAGCCCACCGCGCCTGAGTCACTCCTGTTCCTGCCAAATGCGTACCGTTTTTAAGACAGTCACTTTTAACAGCAAATTGCAGCTTATTTGCGGAGTATTTACGCTAAATTAGCTGTATGTCCAGCACCAGATGCTGGCGCGCGTCGGCAAACGCAGGCGCCGGGGCGGCGGGAGGCGGGGGCCCTCGAGCGTGAGATGATGGAGGTCTTCTCCGAAGACTCACGATCTGCGAAAGACTCGGTCGGAAGACCGGCCTGCAGACATTTTCTTGCGAAAATTGGTGCTTTTTAGGCGCATGGGCCATGAGCGAAAATGTTTTAGTACGGGATGATGGGTAAAAGAAGCCTGTGCAATGCGGTTTCCTGTGCGGCCCCCCCCCGGGGTGAGCGCTAGAGGCCCCCTGGCTCTTCCCGTGGTATTCTACACTGAGCGACGCGCTGTTAGCCTTCCCGCTCCTGTTGTTTCGGCAGAGCCAATACACAGGCGGGCTGGCAGCAGGGCGTCTTCAGCTGTTCCCTGCTTGTTGACACGTAGCTGTGGGCAAGAGCGACAGCGAATGCCCCTTGATGCCACTAGGAACGAAGGTTTAATAGCCGCGCCCGCCAGCGCCTGCGCGGTATACAGGCTTGAAGCCTCGGCATCATCTCTCGCCACATCTAGCGATGTTTTTGCCAGCCGAGCAACGCAGCGCTGCTGGATGCGCGCGGCACTTCACGCACGGCTACCTGAGAGGTCGGGCAGTGGGGTTGCGTCTGTCGCTGCACTGCTGCCTCAAGATGCAGTCAGAGGAGAGCAGCAGGCGCTGTTTTCTCTCCTGCAGGAGATCGAGCAGTGCAGCGCCGACAGCAGCACGAAGCTCTCTCTGAAGGTGTTTCAGCTGCAGCAGCTCGCCGCTATCCGCGGCACCAGCCATTTGCTCTTGCAGCAGCATTCAGGATTTCTGCAGCTGATCAAAGATTTGACTGCGGCGGCAGCAGCGACAACGCCAGCCGCGTCAGAAGCGGCCAACGGAGAGCTCTCGCCGCAACAGCTGCATGCGCTTGCGCGCGCCAGCTGCAAACTGGGGCTTCCAGGAACTCACCCTCTGTGGAAATGCACTCTTAAACAAATGCTGAGGCACACAAAGGTAGTCCTATAACGCTAATCGTACAAAGGTCGACCCCCGCTGTTGTGGCTTCCGCGTAAAATGGCCGCTCTAGAGAAACCGAACCAACCGACTCCTTGCTGCTGTTGCCGCTGCTCCTCATGCGCTATTTGTGCTGCACTGCAGAGAGGGGGCCTCTCTGTATCGGAAGCGTGCAGCAGCTTGCGGTGCTTTGCCGCGGCTGCCGCAGCAGTAGACCGCATGCACCTAGCAGCGCTCATGCAGCACGTCTTGCGAGATGCAGGACAGGTTAATGAATTTGACGCAGCCTGCGTCTTATACGCGATTCGCAAGTAAAAAGGACCTAGTAGAGTTTACGGTGCAGCTGTGGCTCGTTGATGGTGGCTGGGGTGCTACTGCTACCGCAGTCTCTGTTGCATTTCGGTGATCGTGCGGCAGGAAGGGGGGCATGCAGGGGGAATGTGGGCCTGTGCCGCAGATTGCATCTAGATCCGCGTGTCGATGCTGAGGAGCACCTGGAGATTATTGGCAAGCCTCCTCCAAATAGCCCTCCAGCCAGCGGTTCAGCTAGCCAGACAGGCGACGCCACTCCCCGTCACAAGGGAAAAGCGCACAGGAGCCGCGGCGGCAGCAGCGGCAGCACCGAAAGCAGCAGCAGCAGCGTCCTCAACAGGTTGAGCTTGAAGCTGGTTAAGGTTTGCGCGTGGGCTGTTGAGCAGCGGGCAGCTACAGCAAGTCCAAAATCTTTGGTCTGCTGTTTGTACGAATTCGGCCTGCTAAAGCTGCTGCCGTGGCGTTTGTTGCTCGTGCTGCAGAAGCGTCTCCGGCAGAAGCAGCAGCTGCGACAGCTCGACGGGCAGGGCCTTTCCCTGCTAACGCTGTCTCTTTTCCACCTCCAGATGTGCGACAGCAAGCTGCTTGCGCGCATTGGAACGGTCGTGCAGGAGCACCTCGGTCCGCCTCCGCCTGCACTCCTCTCGAGAAAAAAGCTCCAAAAGCTCCAGAGCCTCCCCAACGCGAGTTTGTGCCTCCTGCTGCACGCCATTGCCAAACAGGAGTTCAGAGAAAAAGGCCTTATTCTCGCGGCGTGCACCCGCATCGAGCGGTATAGTTATCCCTGAACGCTGAGCTCTAGGCTGGCGGCAGTGACGTGCTGCGACTTCCTGCCAGTGTCTCCAGACAGCGCCGATTGTACTGCCTTTGAGGGCTGCGAGCCTTGCGCACAGAGCGGTAGCTGGACGGTGGCTTCATTAGGGGAAAGGGAAGGTAGAGGGAGGGAAGGGGAAAGAGGTTGGCGTTTTAGCGCGAAAAGAAAGCTTTAAGAGTAGAGGCCTTCTCGCTTCGCTGCACCTCGAGATTGCGCGTGTTTTGCTTCACTCGTTTCTTGGGGATCCCTGCTCTTGGCTGCTTCTGAGGGAGAGAGGCAAGGGTAGCTGGAGTTTGTGGCATGCACCATGAAGCACCCACGCCACACCTGCAGCAAACACTGCATAGAAGAGCCCTTCCTTCGCGGCTGCCCTTTGTGCGCTTCAGAGCCGGCAGCACCATGACAACTCGGCAGCTTGCTATGTGCGCCCATTCATTGGGCAACCTCGGGGTCAAACATGAAGCGAGTTGGAGGGCCCTTAACTTTCTTCTCGCCGTAAGGCTGTTCGTCGTTTCGGGGTGGGAAAGTGGAAAAGGGGGTTGGATTGGTGGAGCGGAGGTTGAATGGGCAGCCATCAGCGTGCTGGTGCGGTGAATCTGTTGTAGAGGAAAGAGCTCCTCACACATCCGGAGCCAACGGGGTGACATCCACAAGGGTACACGCCTTGCCAGTGCCTTTTGCGCTGGGCGCTGTCTGCCTCGCTGCTTTTGCAGGAAAGGCGCGGCGAACTTCCCCCGTGTGAAATCTCCTTGGCAGCCCTTGGTGCTGCCAAGGCTGCAGCCGCTGGACCTGAGACTCTTGCCGCCCTCCTAAGTCAAGCCTTGCACCTCCGGGTACAGTGTGAGGGGGGCTAGACGCGTAGCGCTCAGTGCTCTCAAGGTGATGGTGTACGGGCATTTCTTTGGGTTTGGCATTTGGGCTGTCTGCGTGCAGCGCGGCTTCACCGGCCAGCAGCTCGTCAACCTCTTGGATGGGGTCGCCCTGTCTGGACATGTGAAGGAGGTACTGCCTATCTGTGCATGCAGTTAGGGTTCAAGACACACGCCAGTCAGCTGTATTGGGGGGGAAGAGGGAGGGGGGGTTGGCAGGCCTGCACACGCGAGGGCGCGGTAGCCTTCCATTCACATGGCGTGATCATCACGCCACAGAGGGCTCTCTGGACATTGATGGATGCTTTCTGTTACAGAATGCAGAGACGTGTCTGAAGCTCCTCGAGGTGTACGTACAGCTGGGAGAAGTACCTAGCATCGCCTGCAGGGCCAGCCAATTGGGCCGCATAGCCTTCACGCTGCTTTTGGAGGTGCAGCCGCATGCACCACGCCAAACCTTTAACCGCACCAAATTCTAACACAGCTGCCAGAGTGGTCATAGGCCCCCCCCTCTTTCTGCCTTAAGGAGGCCCCCTTGGTCGCGGTGACCACGGCGTAGGGCTTATAATTAGGTTTTGAGAGTTTTCTTCTACGGTGTCTCAGATTCCGGAGGTCCTCTCAGCCTCTCCCCGTTCGTTGCAGCTCTTCATTGAGGACAACCAGCGGCATTTTCAAGAGGTAGAACCCCAGGTAAACTGCCAAAGCCTCTAAGCGCATCCCTGAAAAGCTTCAAGCCCCGAACCAGGCTACGGTTTTTTCCTGCACAAGACAACTGGAAGTTAGGGAATCGTGCAGCGTGTCTGACGTTCCTTTTTTAACCGTGCACTTTCACCAATTTTCTACGGCCTAGCTTCTACGGCTTGGACGTTAGCGTTTGGCGTGTCTGTGCTCAGGAGTACCACAAGTGTCTCGCCTTGGCAGTGCATCGCTTATTGGGAGTCGATGCTGAAGGCCCGCATCGCGTGGGACCGTACACAGTTGACGTTCATCTCAAGTCCGAGTAAGCTTTCATATTCGGGAGGCGGGAGTTACTGCCAGTTATGATTGGTTCGGAGCGGGATGCTAGCAGGCAGCAGACAGCGGTGAACACTAGGCGCAAAGCCATGTACCAAGGGGGGGGTGCAGCTGCAACGCTCACCGCGAACGCCTACTACAAGTGTCTCAGAAGGCATGGGTTATGCTGCCACTAACGCATATGGGAGGAGTCCTGCTGACGTGGCCATTCCTTGAGTGCGCTCTGTTCAGGGAAATACGCGAAACGCTTGCCCAGCTGCTACCGAATCAGCAGCTCAACAGCAGCACCTGGCCGGATACGTGCGTAGACTTGCTCTCTGAGGGGTGTTACTGTCCGCTTTCGGGGGCGCTGCTGGGAGCTTCGCTCTTGAAAACACGACAGCTGCACCAAATGGGCATATTGTATTGCAGCATCAGGCGGCGAGACTGGATAGGGGCGGATGTTGCGCACCGGCAGCAACTGCTGCTTCGCGCACTGCAGCAAACGCTGGAAGTCAGCGGCTGGACATACAACGAGAGCCATGCATCTGAGGGTCATTGAAAAGCAGCCTTTGCTGCCCCACACGCTGCTGGGTGTCGCTGCCGGCTCTACCTGGTGGCTATATCAGCAACTGCAGACAATGTTGGTGCTCCAGTTCTGGCATTGTGTGTAGGATGTCTCTGCATGATGAGTGTATGTTTTGATTGGGGCCTCATGTTGCATGTCCAGCATCGCTTACGCGTTCTTGCTAAGAATTCGCGCCGTAGGGTTGAACTATCGGCAGTTCCTTAAAGTCGTTGGGCTCCCTCAGGTGCAGCGTTCCAGAATTGTCGAATATCTGAAAAAAGAGTGCATGCAAACGCGAGCGAAGGGGGGTCAGTGGCCTTGGCGCATGCAGGCTATCAACTGAAGGAGAAGGAAGCAAAGCAAGGCGGCAAGGCACACGCGCAGGAAACTCGACAAACAGAAGCTGTCTGGCATGTGCACCAGCACCGTGCCGACAAAGAGCCGCATAGACTTCCATGCGTGAATCGGCCTTCACGAAGTTGCACATGCACAGATATGCAATCATTGTATGCAGATACGGATAGATATGTGCCTACTCGCACACAGAGTAGTGAAGATGCTCATCAAGCACGTGCTATCATACACACACACATTTCGGACAAATGTACATATATATATATATATGCGTAACACTGTACATGCACATACAAAAATATTGATGCGGCACACAGTAGCGTAGGCTGTAATGCTTGCCCTCGAGCTCTCTCTGGTCCTGGCATTGTGCACTGGCGGTGCTCACCTTAATCTGCGCTCCCGCGGATCGCACGGGATCGTATTCCACATCAACTCGCCTGCGCATACATGTCATTCACATAGACGTTTCCTTTCACTCTTCCCCTTAGACTGAGCTAATCCCTTTTAGGCCATTGGCTTGTACGCCTTTCTGCTAGTTTGCTATATGCTTGCCCTCAAGGGGACAGCTCTTCCGCACGTTGCTGCAACTGGACAGTACAGCCCACACAGCTTACCCGGAGGCATTGTTAACCAAAACATTCTTTTTCGCGTTCCCCCCAAAGTTGCGGATGGACGCATTGGCTGCATTCACTATGACCCATTGGCCGTAGGGGTTCTGGGAGATCGGAAGTGTGACTTCGCTGCCCTCCTCGTTCACCGGCACGATATCTGCAATGCATCAAATGAGATAGGCTACAAATAAAGGCGTCTGTAGCACATATAACGGCGCATTCATGTTTGCTTTGTATGGACATGTTCGTTAATCGAAGCAAGCGTGAAGTGTTCATGAAGAAGCCTTTGAATGCTGATACGAGTGCGCGTGTAGGGTGGCTGATGCAAGGGGAGGGTTATGTACATGCACGGGAGATAATGGCTGATGTCAGTGGACTAACAAGAGCTGCTGTAGGCCGAGGTCAGTGCTTCGCTATCGGGAACCATAGGAGGATGTAGATGGAATTTGAGGGTTTGTGTGACTGCCGAATTGAATGTAGGTGGGCAACGTGCGGGAGAAATTACTTTGGCCACAGGAGGAGCTGCACAGTCTCAGCTGCGCACTCCACGCTGTCGAAAAAAGTACAGCAGCAGACGAACACATCCAACAGCTCACCTGGAGTGCCTTCCGAATACAAGATCTGTCGGGCCTACAACAACCAAGCATAGGAAATAACTCAATCTCAGAATTCAGAGGAGAACGGATGATATAGAAAATCTATATACACCAACAGGCGCGGTATATGCAATCCCCAGAAAGAGACAGTGAACATCGTTTAAGCACGTAGATGTGCTTTGCAAAGCGACAGCCGCAGTCTCAGGTCACTGAAGGGAGCTTGCTATTGGGCTTACCTGGGGAGGAGTCAGGTCGAACGTGTTAAGCATAGGAGTCTGGCTGATGAATCCAATATCGAAAGCAGCGGCGATTTTGCAAATTTCGATGAATGAAAACAAAAATGGAAAAAACCGAATCTTCATTGTGGCATTGTTTTTCCAGCTGAGGCTAAAAGTTTGCTGTTTCCCGACAGGATTCCGTGATGCAAAACCCACAGTATACTGAGAAGTCAATCGCGTGGCGCGAAGCCAGGGGAAGGCGTAAGGTAAATGATATGACGTTTATGGCCTTACATGTCGTTATTCCACAAGAGGCAGATATATGCGGACCATCGTATGAATTCAAGTCTTTTTGTTGCTCAGCTTCGCCTTCTGTCTCGCACAATCTTCGGTGCGATTATGCTCCATGTACAGCACACACTATGGAAGAGGAATTTTTCTCCGCAGTTCATGCATGCAGCAGTACGTTTGTGGTGGTATTCTTTACATTGCGTAACGTCTATGCGCATATGATCGCATGAATCATCTACTTGTTCCAACAAAGTTTGCTACCTCATCTATATTCAATAGGGGCGAAGTTGAATCTGTATCATGCGCTGTTCTGATGGTGACTTTCTATGCTCTTCTAAATGCTCCCACAACAATCATAAGCGACTCTCGAACTTTTATAGCGAATCTTGTTTTTTCCTTCTGCCTGAAGATCTAGGCCTGTTGCAAAAGTGGCTGTGCAGCCAATGGTGATAAGTAGGAGCGCATACAGCAATGCTGTCCTGTATGCTGATCATCACTTGAGAGGAACTCAAAGTGACCACCCAACTTGAATGTCTATGCACCTAAGTGAGCAGCTCCATTTTCTTGAAGTACGTAACAGCTTCATCTTTAGGCCGGGGACAACAGTGTTCCGTAGCTAGAAGCAGTGAGGGAAAACGTTATGAAGGAATATTGCTTTCTAATTGTCCATCAGAGCAGGGGTTCCGTGTAAGCCATTTTCCCTGGATGCCTCTCACTAGCGGCATGGTGAGCTTTTGGCTACGAATTGCGTTTCCGATAAAAGAAATGCCCGAACCACCTCTCGTCCACGAGACACTATTTCCCATTTCCGCTCATCCGTCATCTAGCTTGAATTCTGCTTTCGGACGGTAAAGCGGAGACAAAATACCGCTCTCGAGCCCACTTATACTACCACATGCAGGGAGTGGACATGGCACAAACAGGCTTAAGGGAAAACACGGATGAAAACAATGCACGACTCTAGACAAGCAAACTAGAAAGCATAAAACAAAGCTCGGAGCAAGCGGACGGAGATACTGTACAAAGGAATTCGCATGGACTGATCTCAGGAACGGAGCATGATACACGGGTACTGTGAGAAGCACCAGTACCGAGACACACCGCACGTCGTCATCAGCAAAAAACGATGCAGAGAGCCGTGCAGCAAAAACAATCGATTGGAATAGACCTAGAAACACGCGAACATATGGCCTAAATCATTTGTACGTGTTCAAATGTGTTGTTATTTCTCCTTCGAAGAAAACCTTTTGGGGATGCCAAGCTACCGCAGACCAATGCGAGCAAGCCGTACGCCTTCAGCCTTCATTTGCAAAACCCCTACGCTAAAAAAATTAAAATGAATATTCGCAAACAAAAGCAGCCATACAAACATTAGGTAAACAGCTGTTTGTTCCCTGTGCTTCTGTCGAAAAGTGGCTGCCCTCGGCCCAGGTTGCAAGGCCTTGCTCTTCCTCGCGCATCTCTTTTTCTGGAGAGGAAGACGCAAATGGGGAGGGGGAGAAAAAGAAACACACAGAAAGGCAACGCCAATAAATAATTTAAACTAAAGTTAGACTACCTCCGGCCGGCACTTCTGCTGCGGCTCCTACCCCAGTTGCCCCTACGGTGGTACTTGTGTGCGGCAGTGTCTCCAGGCCGTTCCTGTTTGCCCTTGGTTATCCGTTCTCTAAAATGACTATCGCGCTGCTGCCCTCCTCGTAAATCAGAGTTGTGCCTTCTGCTGGGGGCATCAGACTGCTGCTGTTGCTGCTGCTGTCGACTTCTATTTTGGAAATGACTAGATGCACCAGATGCTGCGGGGGGTTTTCCTGCAGCGTTCGGTGCTTTGAGCTGTTGAAGTTTAAAAGACTTCCATTCCCTAGCAACAGACTGACTGAAGTCCACATGAATGCTGAGTGCGCAAACACAGCATTCGGAGACGGTGATGCATATCGAGCTTTTAAAAAGAGAATAGAGCACGTAGGCGATTCCCAGAAATTGCAGCTCAGTGCAAGGGCATTGAAAGCTTGAATCATGGATTTCCGTAGGTGCCAGTAATTTCCAAAATGCATACTAACAGCGCAGCCGTCTGGATGCTTTCGAATGCGAAAGCGCATAAACAAAGAAACAAAGGTCACCCAAGCGAAATACAATATTTACAATATAATGACATAGGACTACAGAGTAGATGCTAAATGTGATGAATTGGTGTTCCCCGTGTAGATAGATTTGACCGACCGTCTGTCGTCGACAAGAACGTTTTGCATCCTGAAGTATGCAGCTTCGCACTCTTCCTTCTTTTTGAAGCCGACAAAAGCATATTGCAGAGACTGACCCGTGCGGGAATCACGGATGATGTCGCAAGACACTACATCCCCGAACCTGAAAAGGCCTCAACATGGACAGACAGCAGCTGAGGCTGCGGCTGAAGCAGCAGCCGCTTCTGCTGATAATGTGATAACTGCGTATGGCACGTGGGATACGGCGCTAATATCTCCCTGGTGGTCTACTGCTCACCCGTCCCACACACTGCTCATTTCTGCATCAGGAGTGACGGAAGCATGCACATAGATGCACAGGGCGTGCATACATGCACACATGCATACCCACACACATGTACATACCAACACATTGATCGGATGCGTAAGTTATTCATTTGCATGACTAACCGTGAAAACAAGAGCCTGAGATCGCTGTCCTGCGTAACCGGATTCAGTTTTGCAACGAAGAGGACCGTATCCGGCGGGGCCATATCTGCATCCGGGATATCCCCCAATATTTCGAGGGTCACTGCACGCAAGAAAACGGACAAACAGAACCCCAGATTGGAGAGTAACTGCTTTTCGCAGTTGCAGCAGTATGCCTCTTATGTGCATACAGCCGGAACGGTGGCTCCAATGCCATCCAAACAGCGCTCGAGGGCCGTTTTCTAACAGAAATCGCCCTTCACGAACCAATCCCCGCGGCTCTGTCTGAGACTGTCACAGTATTTTTGCGACGCTTTTCACGTCCTTCGATTCCCAAGTCTGCATAGATCTGCCCCTCGCTTACCCTTCCTGGCTTCTGCTTCCTTGTGATCCACCTTTTCTATGGCCATGATTTCGTCTGTCTCCTCGTCGCTCAAGGCTTCAGCAGCCAGGGGCTCCGGCGAAGCAGGTGGAGTAAAACCCAGCCGTTCTGCATCTACCTCTGCTACATCATCTGCTTCTTCCTCCTCTCTGCATTCCCCATCAGCAGGATTTTCCTTTTCTTTGCTAGCGAGAGGAAGCGCCCTTTGAGGCTTGCAGAAGAAAGGGTCGTCCAGGATGTACGCCCTAAGTATCCGCACTGGCTGGTACAAAAAACCGCACGAGCACTCAGCAATAAAATCTTCATTTACGCACAGCGGCAAGCGCGTCCAGGTCACATTATTACATACCCAGAGTCCTCATGCAAACCCTTCGTATTATTCTGCCTAAGGATGAGGTGAGCTCGCACCAAGACGCGGCACGCCGACCGAAGTATTGAAACTATTCATGCAAGTTGACACATAGATGACATACATAAGTGCAATCGAGACAGTACATCGGCACATGTGCGCGCACCCTTCTGTAGCCTAAAGAACCCATCTCTCACCATGCTACAATATCCAAGTTTGAATGGCATATATAGACACACATCTATACAATCATACATGTATATACAGTAATACATGTTTATATATATATATATTAATGCGTGCTCTGCATCTCTGGTACGTTTGTACAGCTGTACAGGGGCTAAATTAGTAGTGTATGCGCATGTCAAAAGGGTGTGGATGGGGAAAGAAGCTGCGGTCGCTTTCGAAGTGACCCCTGGAAGGCAGTGTGTATGTGTGTGGGTAAGTGAGTGCCTGACCGTAAGCGGGATATGAGAGCTGTCGACAAAGGCGTCGTTGAGCCTGTCAAGGGTGTCTTCCCCCTCAACAACCTCCCCAAAAAGCGAGTGTTTACCGTCCAGCTGCGTCAGATTTGGCCTCAGGGTTATGTAGAAACAACTGGTGCCGCCTGGGGCCTTGCCAGCAGCATGCGGGAGCATTCCGAGCATTCCTCTTCTCGTGTGTTTGAGCTTTGGATTGGCGTCCAGCGGGCAGAAGCGACAAGAAGGAACTCCTATGGCTTTGTCGCTTACCTGACTTTTACTCAGCGTGCAGCCCACTCCTTCCAGAGATGCCTCAGGGAAGGACTGGTACGCGAGCATGTCGAACTCGACATCCGCGTATACTGATGCTGGGAGGAGAGAGAGCCTCCCTTGCTGTTCCTGACGCTGCAGCTCAAGCTCCCGCGCGCGCTTCTTGAGATTTATTTGGCGGGATTTCACGAGATGGCGAATTCCCCAGATGCTGCAGCCGACGTCATCTGTCTGCTTTTCATTGGCGGAATTTCCATTAAGGGTAAGGCCTAGGCCCCAGGCGCGCGAGGCAGTTGCAGGGTTGCCTGCTCTGGCGATGAAATTCTTCTCTATGGAATGGAAAATGCAATTGTGGTAATATTTGGAACGAACAAGCGCCAGAAAATTGTAGCAGGGAAGAGGGCACCGATCCACAAACAAATCAATGGTCAAGTCGCCAACGGAGGTCTGCAAAAGCACCGCCATTCCCCCTTTAAGGGTCGCACACGCAGTGCGAGACGAAGAATACAAGTACGCCCAAAGAGGGATGCTAGCGTGACGAGGGGAGGAAATCCAAGTAATTTATGAGTAACAGGGGAATCAACTGCCAAAGCGTGGAGGCTCACTATTTAAAAACGTATTATTATGAATTAAAAGTACATTGATTCCCGCGTTTTCCTGTGTTTTCTCGCGAGGTGCTCATGAGCTCATTGCATGTCCGTGGCCAAGCGGAAGGTTGCCTTTCGGTGAGTTAGATGTTTGAGCAAGAAAACACGTAAAAGTCTTGTGCATTTTCCATTTCGTCCTATTGTACTTGCGCCTTTATTCATGAAGGCGGCTGCCCATCGGCTCCGTTTTTGCATGCTGGGAAGCCCTGGCGGGGCCTCCCCGAGGGAGGGGGGCCCCCTCCCTCCTTCGAAGTCATGGGGAAGACAAGTTGTGTACCCGCCTCATGACGACAGTTTCCCTCCTCTTTGGGAGTGCTTTTGGCTTCTCTAGGGGGTCGGTCGGTGACCGATGTCGAGCTGTGCATGCCCGTGGTTTGCGGGTGCTGCACATCTCCCGTAACTGTACGGTTGTTTCTGCTGTCTTTTAATCTTCGCGGCTGTACAGAACGATGGAAAGGGCTCATCCGGCTGAATTTCCTTCACCTTCCTCTTTCGACCCATTGTCCTCCCCCTCGCGTTTCTGTGAGCCCCCCGCTGTGCCTACTTTGGCATCGCTTTCCTCAGATGCCTCTCATGGAAATGTGCCCGCAGCTGATGAGGAGGCTTCAGATGCGGAAGAGGACCTGCCCTGTTGCCGTCTTTCGCTTCCCGTACATCTGGCGCTTGACAGAAGCAAAGTTATCGCGGACTTCAATCGACCCCACGGTACACAGTGGCATGGGAGATTGATTTGCAGAGCGCAGGCTAGCAGCTCTCGGTTGCGGATTGGGCTACTCTGTAGCAAGCTGCGGCTTTCCGCAGCCAAAAGGAAGGTCCACCAGTATCGCAGACTTTGCCTGTGCATTCCCAATCGGCGAGCGACGCCCTTACACCATGCGGTGCGATGTGTTTTTTCCAGAGGGCTTCAGCCTCTACGCGGCGTTCTCAGAGTCGGCCTTCGCCTTGGCTGCTGAAGGCAGCCTAAATCAACAGCAAATTGCAGACCTCCATAAACTCTTCCAAACTGTAAGCCGCCCCCCCCCCTTCTGCCCCCTTCCCTATCGCCCAGCACGCCCCTCCTCCCTTAATCCAACGCCTGCCAAGCTTTCCCCCCCTTTCCCACCCCCCCGCTATTCAGCTCCCCTCGTTCCGCTACCACTCCAGTGCGTAGGCGTGAAGGTCAGTGGGCTGTGCTCCGCTCTCTGCTAGCAGGGGGACGCACTGCCAAGGCCCCATGTAGCCTAGAGGCTTTACAGGGTGGCATGCTTCCCCTTAGTGACGAGGTACATTCCTTTCTTCCCCCCTGTCTCCAGCGCAATGGGGAGCGCTTGCGTGCGTCAGCATCCTTCTCTATGTGTCCACGGTACTCTGCTCCGGGGGTGCCTCTGCGTGTACAGACACTCGAGAGCGAGCTATTAAACTGCGTGCGCGCGGTGTTCGCATGTAGCAGCGACAAGAGCCAAGGAAAGCGAAAGAGACAACGAGGGGCCCCTGGGACGTGGTGCTTGAAAGGCAGTCTCGTGTCGTACAGGAGGGAGGGCAGAAGGATGCAAATGATTGTGAAGAGGGCCTCTTTGCAGACTCAGGGGTTGGTCCTTCCGGCTGAGCAGCTTGTCTTGTCAGCACTGGATTCCAGCTGAAGGCTTGTAAGCTCTTTCGCCAAAGCACCTGTTGTGGGGGTGCGCCTTTTGCAAGGCTTTTCTCAGTATTGCGGCTCAGGCCGCAGGGCAGTAAACGCCCGTTAGATTTTTTGTCGAGACGGCCTGGTGAATCTTTCGAGGTGTACTGCGCTGAGTGAGACGCCGCGCCAAGAATAAACAGCAGGAAAGGCAGGAGCATTGCACGAGACCCCTCAGGCGCCAATAGCACATACAAACACATACATACAAACACATACATACAAACACATACATACAAACACATACATACAAACACATACATACAAACACATACATACAAAGAAATACAAACAAACACACACAGAGAAAGAGAGGAAGAGCTACAACAGAAAGACGCACATGTCTACGTACACGCCTCCCACGCATTTTAGAAGAGGCATCTGCTAGAATCTAGCAATGTGCAGCGAGCTCTTAGCTTGGCCTTCGGCACGCCCTTGTCTGCTATTTTCCTCGCCTTTGCCCGCTGTTGGTCGCTGCCGTGTGAGCGAGCGACAGAGGGAGAGCGACGACGCGCCCATGTGCGAGGGGAGAGGCCTTTCACTCACGCAGCGCAGCACACGATCAACAGAGGCAATTCGTGCAACTGCACCACAGGCTCCTTATAAGAGAGCGCTTGAACCAAAAAGGCGCAAGCAGACTTAGACTCGATGAGCCCTCCTAACACGAGACACCCTCAGGCCGTCAAAAGCACTGCCTTGTAAGGCCCCTTTCTAGGAGTGCGGCTGCAAGGAGACATGGCGCAGAGCATCCAAGTCAGCGAAGGGGTCTTCAGCGGCGGAAGCAGCACCAGGCGTTGCGCGGAAGACTGCATATCCTGGCTCGCCAAAGCCCCCTATTGCGAGCGCGGCGAAAGGATCGACTGCCGCGGAGGGGACTCCGCATGCGGCGGGGGGGGCCCCCACGGGGGCGAAATTCGCAGGGCCCCAGGGGGCCCCTGTAGGCACTGCGGGGGTGGGTGCATGCGAGGGCTGTACAGACGCATTAGCAGAGGTGGGAAGGCCTCCAGTCTGCAGCAGACACACGCGCCTCCGCACGGAGCAGCAGGAGCTGTTCCTCAAAGTGCCGCCGCTGTGGAAGGCACATGCCCAGCGTACACACGCACTCGGCTTCGCCGCTTGGTGTGTGTGTGTGTGTGTGTGTGTGTGTGTGTGTGTGTGTGTGTGTGTGTGTGTGTGTGTGTGTGTGTGTGTGTGTGTGTGTGTGTGTGTGGGTGTGTGTGTGGGTGTGTGTGTGTGTGTGTGTGTGTGGGGGTGTGTGTGTGTGTGTGTGTGTGTTGGTGTGTGTGTGTGTGTGTGTGTGTGTGTGTGTGTTGTTGTGTGTGTGTGTGTGTTTTGTTGTGTGCACTGTGTGTTATTGGATGTTGATATT